CTTTTTTTCCTTCGTCTTTATTTCGACGCTTATTTTTACATTGTTTTAAAATTTTTATTTTCTTTAGATGAATTAAGAGTGCTTAAAGTTGAATTTATGTTATGAGTATAAAAGATCCCAAACTTTCAAACTCAAATTAAACTAATTTTAATATATGAAATTTGCGAAAGAACAAGGTATACATATATATATATATATGCAATAATCTAAATTTAATTATATATTGATTATTTACCAAGTGTAATATCTACTTTTATTATATATACCAAAAAGTTATTTTAAAATCATGATTCTATTATTTAGAACAAAATATTAATTATTTTTTTATTTAAAAAAATTTTGTTTATAATTCAATTTTAATGATATTAAAATTTTAAATAACTTTCAGACATGAGTATTCAGATTCAGTCTTCAGACTTCAGACTTCAGTCTTCAGACATCAAATTCAGACGTTTTTTTATCAAACAAAGTAAATTCAGTCTTCAGACTTCAGACTTCAGTGTTAAGTGTTAAGTGTTCAGATTCAGATTTCAGTGATTATCAAACGGAGCCTTAGTATGGTTAAAATAGAATAGTAAAAATATTTTATATTAATTGAGAAAACATAATAAATGTAAAATTATATTTTTAATTTTTATTTTTAATTAAAAGAACATACTAAATGAAATTTAAGATAAATTATAATGCTTTCAGTTGATTAAATTGCACTTACTTTGCATGTGCACTTACTTGTTTCAAAAGGACCGCAAAGTTAATTGTACTCACAATAATGATTTTCCACTTTACTATTTCATCTCTACTTTTCATCTACATATCATCCAACGTGTCAAGTCCATGTCAGTTTATTATTTTGTTTTTTTTCTTTATAAAAAAGAAAGAAAAAGAAACTCATAAAATCTATCGTCTTGAAAGTTGAATGATGACTTCAGTATAAATCATTCTCCTTCAGTAATAGGGTTTTGGGATTTCTAGTCCAAGTTCTCACCAGAGAAAAACAATTGCTTGTGCTGCTATTATACATATCAACCATCGTTGCGCTCATGTGAATGAATTTTTCTGCTTATGCCGATGCCGATATCCCAGATAATGTTGGATTACTCGCCTGCAATACAGAATTTCATGGTCTATTAAATTCCAAAATGGATGAATTAATAAAGAACTGCTAATCTTTTTATGTTTGTGTAATATTGGGTCGAACGAGATAATAAACTGTAACAAAAATGCAGAAATTTAGGGTTGTGTACTTAGAAAAGAAGTTTAGTTAATCGTAAACATTTTGTTTTTCAAAGAAATTTATTCGACGACTTAGTCTAAATTAAATGAAATATAACCAAAAGAAAGCAAGAGCAAAGAAAGAAGAAGCCTAACTAGCTACTCTTCTAACATACTCCCTCCGGTTCTTAATGTACGACATTTTGATTTGTCTTAAATTTAATCTAATACGTATTTTTAATTGACAAAAAAATCTTAAAAATGTTGGACAACAATTAAGAGAATACAACGAACGTGAGAATATATTTTAAGATTTTTCGTCAATTAAAAATGTGTAGTAGGTGAAACCTAAGACAAAAATCAAAATCCCTTATATTAATGACCGGAGAGAGTATTAATTAAGGGATTAATTTCTTCTGTTGTTCTCGAAAATTAATCTTTGAAATAATACAAATTGAAATGTTGACGTAAGAAGAAGCTGTTGTTCATCAACTCCGACAAATAAGAAGATCCATAAAGCATACCATGAACAATCGAGAGAAGCAATTGCATTCTGCAGGCGAATACTTTGGTCTGATGCACCGCCGCGAAGATATTATCAACGAAAGCAGCCATGATCTCATAGATATTGCGATTCATGATCAAGGAAACTAATTGTCCTCAAATACTTTTGTAATTTTATCCAAAGGGATTACTCATGAAGCCCAAAACTGGCTCCTTTTGCCTTCGTAATTTTTATCCAACAAAATTGGTCTCTTTTTTAAGCTGAATGATGAAACTAAGAAAATACTCAAGAAAGTGGCAACTTCTAACGTGAAAATGAAAAAAAGAAAGAAGAAAAAGTTAATTAAATTGCATACTTGCATGCACATAATTAGCACGCGCACTTCACGTACAAATATGTACATTCCATGTGCAATCTTGTTATATTTTGTTATGATTTAGTATTACTATGCCTTTTTTGGTATGATTTTTCATATTGACAATGAACATACAAAAACAAATCTTCTTCCAACTCATAATTGAACACATATAAAAAATTTTAGAGCTCGCGGATGTGGTCTAAATCTAGTACTCACTCCTCTAGATGACAAGACCAAGCCTATCTTAATTAACTAGACCAAGGCATCCATAATTTTTTATTTTTGGTAACGCAAGAGCCGTAAGAGACTACAACGTGGCAAATTAAGTCAGATGACTTGCAAGTCATCAAAATTTTTTTTTTTTTTGAGACGGAAGAAGTATATATTACCTAAAATTTTTCTAAGGCCCAAACTAAAATTAAATTAATATTAATCCGTGTCTTTCATATAATCGAAGGGAGTAAAATTATTTTGTCTTGATTACAGAAACTCGTTAATAAAAGAACTGCTATCACCTAAGGCTATGGAAGGGGCTGCGTTGATACATAGAAAAAGAAGCTAAAGCCTGTCTGCTCTACCATGAACAAATCCAAAAAACATCCAATATTATATGTTTCAGAAAAATAGTCTGGTTTGGGTTGGAGAGAGTACTAGCTAGCCTAAGTTGAAGATTAAAACCATCATATTGTGCTCCACCTTTTAACACTTTATTTGAAGTTTTTTTTTTTTTTAAAAGAGTGCACTGTTTACTCCCTTACAATTACAAATATAACTTTTTTTCTTTTTATCAACTTTTTAAAATTGTATCATCATGAAATGAAATCCATAAAGAACAGTTACGTACGTGGTTTAATTGCATGTTTGACATCATTTGCGGGGGCAGGTACGTGTGACATCATTTGTGGAGTATTATATTTTCTATGTTCAAAATTAGATTTATATTTGTGGAAAAAATTATCTTACTTTCTTTTCTTTTTAGGATGAAAAGAATATCTTATAGACTTATGTGGAAAAGTTAAATTGATTATTACTATTTCCCTTTTAAACATTATTGATCACCTTCGAATAATTTGTTATAGGTTGGGAGATAATCATATCCAGAAAAGCAGCTCTCTGTTGATGACTCTAGCTAGGTCAGAGAACACATAACAGTCTCGTAGACTTTAACTAATCCAGATATCTCTCCACTTTTGTGAGTTTGTCTCCAGGCCTTTGATTTGGAATTTTCTCAAAAAACCTAATCAAAGAATAGTAAAAACAACATGGGCTGCTATGCTATAGCAATGATTCTTGCGGTGCCAATACAATGTATTAAGCGATCAATTTTCTTTTTCCCAACAATTTTAAAAAAGAAAATGGAAGAAGGGAAGAAAGAAAAAAAAAAAGGGGAGGGAAAAACTGTGCATAGGCAGAAGAGAAGGGAATTAGCATCTTCATACGCATGACTTCATATATACATCTTAACTTAATAATCTCATTGGCCGAAAATCATGTATTCCCTCGTTCCAAAACTATTATCCAGTTTAAATTTTTTTTTTTAATATAAATTTAACTAAATGTAAAATCCAAACTAGACGATAATTTTATAACAGAAAGAGTAATTTAATTATTATTATGAAATGTAACAAGTAAATTATTTCAGAAATGGTTGTGTTCAGGAACTAACACCGTCCCCGAGTAGGTTGCGAGAAGAAAAGCAAAGATTTTAAAGTAGAATACTGTATATGCTTAGGCACAGTATATAATTGGGGCGGCTAACATGATTTCTAGAAGGACGTAATTCTTTTGGAATAGTTTCTTTACTGGCTATTATGGACCACTCCACTCTTCCCATTGCCCTTAGCTAAAATGTCAAAGTTTTTATTTCGATTTACTTCATTATATAAGCTCGTAAAACAAAAGAGGTATAATAACGGCTGCTATTATTTCCCCAAAATACAAGTAATGATCGACGGTATATTGATGAAACTGAATAACTTGAGAACAAGACCTTACGTTATCTATAATTTTTTTCGTCACAAAAATGATTGTCCTATTTTAGATTCAGGATAATTATTTTGAAACAAAAAAGTTTATATATATAAATGATTATATATGTGATGTAAATATGAAACACTAATCATGTTTAAATGAATCGTACATTATCTTAGTAACTCTATAATTGTGTAAGGAATTATCAACAATAGTGTTACGAAGGAGGACGGTAAGAAGTCGAATCCCGTGAGAAAACTTGTTCGCATTTTGATCGTGCATAAGTTTCTATTTCTACATATCTCTGCACAGAAATAATTGTCGATATCTTAAAAGTTAAAACTTAGTCACTTATGGTTTGGGGAAAAAAAAAAAAAATTCTGAGAACAGAAAAGAAATAAAAATCCTTCACCTCAGATATATTCGATGGCTATCACATCTACGGTGGAGACAAGTCGATATCGATCGACTTGACTATTTTTGCAGATTGGTTTGAGAAAAGTAAAACTACAATAGAAAATATATATTTCTAGTGTTTATTAATTGATAATGATCATTCGACCCTTTCAATCCCTACAGAAAGGAAAATTAGAAAAATCGTTAATTTTTTCGTAAGAATCAGTGTAAATTTTGGAATTTCGCTCCCTAAGTCGTTTTCATTATCCCAATTTTCTACATATAATGGTTTGAAATTTTGAAATTGAGCTTAAAGTAAACGAACTTATTACGCTAATTTTCGTTTTAAACTTACTTATAAACCGAGTGCTTCCTTTTAGTAGACCAAATAAAAACACTGAATAGTGCACTCAAGTTTCAAATTAATACTCTCTCCATTTGTACTCGTTTGTTGAATAATATTATATCTAGTTATCTACAACAAACACGACTCTCTTTTTTAGAATAAAAGAGTAATATATTTAGTAAATTCTTTTCAAAATCTATCATCGATCTAGGGCTCAAAATGCACATTTAATGTCTTCTTAGATAGCTATATATCTAGCTAATTATTGCTTGAACCGAGCGACAAATAATAATTCACAAATTGATTCAAATTTCGATTTGGAATCTTCATGGGAAGCCAGCTAAAAGAAGGAAATGTGGCCGCCACACGTTCTTATCTATATCAAAGTCGATTCTCTTTAATTAAACACATTAATTTGACCTTCACGGGGAAAAAAAATCGCCTCAAGCCTATAAATAAGGTTCCTTTCATCCTGGAAAAATCACAAGGCACACACACACACACACACACGATTTCTACTCATAAATTAAACCATTGAATATGGCAAATTTGAGCACTAAGTTTCTTGCTCTAGTTGCCTTTTCACTGTTGCTTCTCAGCCCTTTGGATCTTGTGAAAGCTCAAGTACCCATAGCACCAGGCCTTTCTTTGACTTTCTATTCCAAAAGCTGCCCTAATTTGGAATCCATTGTTAGGAAACGTCTCCAGTCGGTGTTTAAGGACGCCGGCCTAGCTGCCGGCGTTCTCCGTCTCCAGTACCACGATTGCTTTGTCCAGGTATGCATGAAAAAAAAAAAAAAACTACGTCAACATAACTGATGTGATTGAATTGAAGTGTTAAAAATCTGATAATAAGACCTTAATTAATTCTCTGTTATCATTGTGATTCGTTGTCACAATCCTCCATCTCTATCACTATATATGTTCATCTTCGACATTTTAATTATTCTTTCCGTTTCGAAAATATTGTCCAATTTGAATTTTTCAGGTTTCTTACAAATTTAACTAAAACTGAAAATACAAACTGGATAATAATTTTTGGGCATAAAGAGTATATAAGTTAGTAGTCTTACCTTAAATGATTTCTTTTCTGGTGTTCCACTATCTTTACCAAAAAAAAAAAAAGAAAAATGGATTGATGAGTATATGTGATGATTAAATTGAAATCGATAGGGTTGCGACGCTTCATTGCTATTGGATGGATCGGCAGGGGGTCCAAGTGAAAAGAGTGCCATTCCTAACTTGACTTTGCGAGCTCAGGCCTTCAGAGCCATCGAAGACCTCCGCAACCGTGTGCACAAGGAGTGCGGCCGGGTTGTTTCCTGCGCCGATCTTGTTGCTATTGCCGCAAGAGATGCTGTTGTCTTGGTAAATACTACTATCAAACTTAAACTACTTATAAAGTAGCATCTGTTTCAATCCTGCTCATATACAATATACGTACACAATTTGCATGAAGTTCCATTTTTATCTATAAACTTGATACATATACTAGTGACACGCAAGAATAATACAAACTGGCCATATTAAAACAATACAACGAGAATAATAATAAAAAAAATAAAATATGACCATTTTATCATTGAGGTTTGTGAATTACATCGATGGATCTTAAAAAACTTCCGTGCATACCACACATATATCACGTACAGGATAGTTTTGCGTAGTTTCACTATCTTTATTTTTACAATTTCACTTTTGACTCCAAACCCCTTTTTTTTTTTTTTTTGCATTATTCTCCAAACTCTTTTTCGCACATACTACACGAATTTGTTAAAAGTACGTACGTACTGCACACGCCTATGTTTTCAGTTTGTAGCAGTAGTCCTTTATTTTAAACTGTAGACATCTCATGACAACTTGAAAGTTGAAACTGAAGGAAATTTTTGGAAGCAAAAGTTTGTGTTTCCTTCCTATTACGAAATTTACTCATGCACATCTAAATGCGTAAAGAGTCAAGTCAAGACCCTGACAAATGACAATTGACATACCAGCCCAGTGACCACATACATCCTTAGCAAAGACTTTTCTTATGACGAACACACACAAGAAAAAGTGGGGTTTCATACATTGATAGAAAGATGTCGATTACCTACCAAATTGATAAACTTGAATATTATTAGAATAAATACTTATTGACGAAGACCCCCTTGATTGATATATTGTCATCGACAACTGACAGCTAAAAGAACTTAATCTTGATCAAAGAAAATTTACAGGAAAATGTCAGCATCATATTAACTACCCGGGACTTTTTTCCCCATTAATTTTTTAATAAAAATTTATTTATAACTTAGGGTAGACTTAATTCATGATTAGAGTTTCTTCTTCTTCTTATTATTATTATTATTTATTTTTGCTTGCAGACTGGAGGACCTAATTATAATGTTCCACTAGGAAGAAGGGATGGTTTGAACTTCGCAACGGCAAATGCAACAATTACGAACCTTGTCGCACCAACTTCTAACACAACCACCCTCCTAGCCAAGCTAGCCGTCAAGAACTTGGACGCAACCGACGCCGTTGCCTTGTCCGGTGCTCACACCATCGGAAGCTCTCATTGCACGTCATTCACCGAACGGCTTTACCCGAACCAAGATCCAACCATGGACAAAACCTTCGCTAACAACCTTAAAGATACTTGCCCGACCCCGACCACTAATAAAACCCTTGACATGGACATCAGGAGTCCAAACCTGTTTGATAACAAGTACTATGTGGATCTCATGAATCGGCAGACACTGTTCACCTCGGACCAGGACATGTACACGGATAGTCGGACAAGGGGAATCGTCACGAGTTTCGCGGTGAATCAGACGTTGTTTTTTGAGAGATTTGTCATTTCAATGTTGAAAATGGGGCAGTTGGGTGTGTTAACCGGGAGCAGCGGTGAAATTCGGGCCAACTGCTCAGCTAGGAACAGTGACAACTTGTTTATTTCTTCAGTGGTTGGAGATGAAGGCTCGCATGCTTCACAGTTTTAGTGTGTGTTTTGGTGAGGAGGAAAATAAAAATGAGTAAAATCACAGCTTGATGTTGCTCTTTTTATGTGAAAGCATAAAATTGTGTAGTGTTGTTTTCTGTAGTGACCAAGAAGAAGTTGGTTTTGTTGGCTTGGTCAGCTAAATTAATGATAACCCTTTTTTGATATATTTTTTTATGGTTTCTCTTAAGCAAGACTTGAAGGCATCTGATTAAGATTTAAAAAATCTACGAAGAACTTTACCAAAAAATATATGCAAGGATCTTTCCGATACGAGTTATCTTTAATCAAGCAACCTCTATTAGTTTTCTTTCTACGCTTTCGTCAAACACTTCTGCAAATCAATTTCTCCTATGATCTAGTTATAAAATACTACAACTTTGGATTAAAATTAATATTAATTTTTGATATTTAATTAAGAACCATGGGGTATGTTTCAAGGATTCGTTTCTTTTGCGTTGATGCTCTTTGCAAATTGTATGTTTCAAGGATTCGTGTCTTCGCAAAATCAAGGACAATTCATGGTTAGAAATTTTCGTATGTTCTGGGCCTTGAGCCCAAATGCAAGCTGAAATCGATCTTATTATGTAATGGATGGAATAAATAAAGAAATCAAAAGAAAGAAAGTTCAAATTCCGCCTGAAATCTGTATGTATATGCTAGCTAAAGAAGCGAACAAAATTTTAGAGTTAAATTTCTCAGTTTTCTTTCAATATTCATGTTAACTAAGAAGTCGTAAGAACAAGAATATCATTATAAGACCAAAAACCTAATATGTTTCGGAAATATTTTTGTTGATCAATCTGCTAAGAAAGTAACACCATCTTCAAATTTGTTGCTTGACAAGGAACAAAGAAAAGAAAAAAAAACTAGCTACATTTATTTTATTTGTCGTTTTGAGATGAATGCTTTTTTTTTTAATATGTCGCGTTTTATTTTCAAAACAAATTAAAATATAATTTTTCCAATTTCAACCTTAATTATCTCTACTTTAACTATCTAACTACACTTCAATTTTAATTTTGTAGAGCTCCAATACTTTTAATTCGGTACAAAAAAGACAATATACTTAAAAATTAAACTCTCAATTATTATTTTTTTAATAGTTGTGCAAATCCTAAATTCACACATAAAAGTAAATAGTAAATGGAGATAATATAGTACTAAAAACATGAATACAATTTATAATTCCGGCGGCTAACAAAGATTTCTAGAAGCACGTGTTTTAGAATAACTTTTTTTCGAAATACGACGAGGCCAAAGGCGCTTCTATGGATATGTCAAATGTATGTTGTCGGGATTTGCAACCAACCAACATAAATATTAACGTTTCTAACAAGTAAAAACCTACTACATACACACACAGATAAGAGATAAGGTACTGTATTAAAAGGAAAAAAAAAAGAAAAAGCCAACAAAATAAAAAACAGAAACGAACAAGCACTAGAGTCCATGAACTTGGTTGTTGAAATTAATTACCATTTGGAGTTATTACATGATTAGGACCTTAGGCTGAGTTAAGAAAAATTAAAACCCACGATCAGTTTCCAAATTTTCTAACCCCTGGCATGGTAAAATATTTGGAAATTGTCGTATTTATTAAATAATCCATCATTTCAATAATTGACTAGAAAAATTAACACATTCATATCATTTTGTCACTTCACGTATGTGGTATCAGTCAAGCGATGACAGCAAAATGCTGAAACTGTGAAACATACTACCTTACAAGTGTAACACCTTTTAGGTGGAAATGGAGTAGGTATATAGACTTGAGATCTTTTTTTTTTTTTTTTTCAATCTCATAGATGATTACTGCTTCTATTTACCTGTTGAGAAAATATTCAATTCGACTATTTGATAATCAAGAATAAATGGTTATTACTTAGGGAAGAAACATGGAAAATATTGGCGTGAAACACGTAAAAAACCACAAAACTCGTGTTCTATAATTAATGTATTTCTATAGAAGAACAATCATTAGAAATCACTGAAGATTAGTACTTACTTTGTGGTGTACCCTCTTGTTACTAAAATTATTATTGTTTTGATTATAAAAGTATATGCAAAAAATAAAATTCAATAAAGAAAATTGTATTGAGAAATGGTGGAAATGTAAATATCCGTTAATGGTAAAAAAAAGAAAATAGAACTCTTTTTTATATATTCCCTAGAAATCGACAAACTTGCTGTCAAACCTATCATGAGGAGACAAGAAAATTTATCGAGTTGACTATTCTAAAGATTGGTAAGAGAAGGGAAAAACAGAGAGAAGAAAGTAAAAAAAAAAAGATTGTACTCCTCCGTCCCATAATTATCGTCTAAATTGTATTTTCATTTTTAGTTCAAATTATACTAAAAGTGAAATTTCAAATTGGATAATAATTTTGGAACAGAGAAGTACAAAACAAGCATTTTTCTACGAGTCAAATTAATTCGAGTGTGTCCGTCGTAAGACACTCAAAAAGTCTGAAAACAGTTCTCTCCGAGAAATTTTCTCCAACCTAATCTGATTTCTGAAGAACATGGATGCATGAATTTAAATTGCTTTTGAATTTTGAGTTTTTGACACATGCTATTAAATTGAATAGGAGTAATAGGACCAAAGCCCACCTAACAATTTTTGACAAGTATCCATGGGAGCTTATTCATGATGCTTTAATTCCCTATTTTCCACCTCACTTGTCCTAAAAGTATGTTATTATGATATTTTCGTTCAACTAGTTCATTCAGCACTAATGCCACTACTTTGATAAATAGAATTTCTCATAAATTAGTTTTGTTAAGCTATGATTTTTATACAATATAAATGGATCGATAGAGCACACATTTTCTCCAAAATTCCTCTAGGTGGTATATGTTCTTTCATTTGATTCATTGATTTTGGAATTCAGAAAGATTGTAAATATTTATGTGAATCCACAGAAATATTGACGTGCACATACAGTCAAAGTAGAAGCAAAAGAAAAAAATTAATCAACGTGATTTCTTTTCCTCCTATCTACTAATTTTTTAGTGAAGGACTAAAATTTGTTATAGCTACTCTGATTAAATAGATCGGAATCTTCAAGGAAATCAAAAGACAGAAATGTGGCCACCACACGGCCTTTGATCAAATAAATAATCCCTCTTGTAACATTAAAAAATAATAAGAAAAAAGGCAAAAGGAAATTAGCAAAACCAGATGGTCTAGTCTATAAATAAAGTTGTATTGAGCAGCTGAGGAATCATAATTACGTGCACATTTACAACTAATTAGCACGAAATATCACTCAACATGGCTTTAAGTACTAAGCTTTTCACTGTCGTTGCTTTATCTCTTTTGATTCTTAGCCCTTTGGACGTTGCAAAAGCTCAACCCATAGCAGCCGGACTTTCTTGGTCTTTCTATGCTAGAAGCTGCCCTAATGTGGAATCCATTATTAGAAACCGACTCGAGAGAGTGTTTAGAGACGACGTCGGCCAAGCTGCTGGAATCCTTCGCCTTCATTTCCATGATTGCTTCGTTCAGGTACATATTACTCTTTTCGTCTCCAGAATATAGTCCATATTGAATTTAGAGATTATACTGATGTTCATTGAGTGCATGAAACAATTGGCTACTTACGTGATGATCAAATATATCAACCGTTATATTCAACAATTTCCAAAGTCTCCTATTGATTTTTTTTTTTATTAGAAACTTAATTTAGTTTGATTGGTTAAACTAATTAAAGCAAATTCATGTAGGGTTGCGATGGTTCGGTTTTGCTGGATGGATCGTCTAGCGGGCCGAGTGAGAAGAGCGCGGTTCCAAACTTGACATTGCGAGCTCAAGCCTTCACAATCATCAACGACCTCCGAAGGCGGGTGCACCGGGAGTGTGGTCAGGTTGTGTCTTGCTCTGATATTGTGGCTTTGGCTGCCCGGGACGCTGTTGTCTTGGTAATTAAACTTAAACCCTTTTTGTTAGAAGCTTTCGTTTTTTCTCAACATATACACCGGGTATATATAAAGGGAAGCGGCTCAAAAAAGATATCCTCTCCATATAAAAAATAGTACACTTTGAATTTTCAAATATGTGTTGTTTTTAGTACAAATTTCAAAATTCAATGTAAACTATTTTTTAGACAAAAATAGTAGTATTATTTTATCCTCTGATAAGAGCCTGGAACGTTATTTTAGGTCGATGGACACAATATCAATAACAAATTATATTGGATATGGGAGATAGAAGATAGGTCATATGAATTTGCTTATATTAATAACAAATTATATTGGAGATGGGAGATAGGAGATAGGTCATATGAATTTGCTTATATTAACATCACTCCACCTATTATTATTGTGTTAAGCATATATGCAATTCCTAATCTTCTTTTCATACATTTCAATCCATAATATATATATATATATATATTGATACTATTAAAGTAAAATAAATTCAAAAACAAAAGCATGTTTCCTTGCTGTATATTTATGTGAAGACCGACACCTCTCCGATTGACCTCATCATCTTTTGTCTCGACTTTTTCTTTCTCTTTTATGTTTTATTATCTGCCTTAAAAAAAAGAAAAGAAAAGGGATAACTTAAGTTTGATCACCTACCGCAAATGATAAGAATTTTATTAGAATAACATTTGCTGACACAAGGATTTTGATGTCATTGATCACGAGCCAACTCAAAATTAAGGATATGTTATAATTGTAAGAATAAAAAAAGTTCAAAAGGAATTTGTCAACATCAAGATATTGATATAAGTTAAACCAGCCTCGGTACTTTTAGTCTTTTGTCGGAGATTTTGATTTTTATTTTCTATTCAGAAAAAGTAATGGAATTAATATAAGATGATACACAAGTTTAGTATATTTGTATTATCTAATTCCATGCACTTTCTTATTTTTGTGCATGCTTTGACCAGTGAACAATTCTGTTTTGAAAAATCGACTGAAGCATATAAGTTGATTATTAGACTATAAAATATTCGATGCACGACAGATAGATATAGTATTACTATACCAATTATGAAAATAAATCTTACTTATTTTCTATATTTGACACTAATCACTAATTTTTGCAGACTGGAGGTCCTAATTACAATGTTCCGTTAGGAAGAAGAGATGGTCTCAATTTTGCAACACAAAATGCAACTATAGACAACCTTGTTGCACCATTTGCTAACACAACCACCGTCCTAAACAAACTTGCAGTCAAGAACTTGGATGCAACTGATGCCGTTGCTCTTTCTGGTGCCCATACCATTGGAATTGCTCATTGCAGTTCATTCACCGACCGGCTTTACCCGAATAGAGATCCCACAATGGACCAAACCTTTGCTAACAACCTTAGAACAACTTGTCCAACTCCAAATACCAATGCAACCACTAACATGGATATTAGGAGCCCTAACATTTTTGATAACAGGTACTTTGTTGATCTCATGAACCGACAAGGGTTGTTCACGTCAGACCAGGACTTGTATACAGATAGTCGGACGAGAGGAATTGTCACAAGTTTTGCGATCAACCAAACATTGTTTTTTGAGAGGTTTGTTATAGCAATGTTGAAAATGGGCCAACTGAACGTGTTGACTGGCAATCGTGGTGAAATTCGAGCTAACTGCTCAGCTAGGAATATCAACAACTTGTTTATTTCTTCTGTGGTGGAAGATGAAGGGCCACAAACATCACAGTTTTAGTGTGTTTTTGTGAGAATGAAAAAAAATAAATAAACTTAAAACCCATTTCATGAATGTCTTAGTTGTGAAACTTTGTACTGCTGTTTTGTTTGCTACGCAAGAACTTGGTTGTGATGGAATTTGCCAATCTTATTGTAATATTTCTAATAAATTTTACTTTAATATAAGTAAACGCCTTAGAAGAGATTATAGTTACACTAATCATGATGGCTCTTCTTTGCTTCGTTTAAATACTTTTCGATAAAAAGAAAGATACCATTATATGTTACACATTTTGTTCCCCCCCCCCTCCCCCCCCTTTTTTTTGTATAAAGTTGGAAGCAAATACTTAATACATGAATCATTAGAACTGTGAGTAAGAAAGAGTAACAACATGATGTTATATAGTTTTGGCAAAATTACCGATGATGTATTGACCAATCTACAAAAACCTCCAAGCTCATTGAAATAGCATAGTCAACCAATTGACAGTCAAATTAACTTCCCAATATTATACTATTATTTCAACTCTTACCCTTTACATTAGTGTGTATATATATATATATATATATATATATATATATATATATATATATCCTTTAATAAAGATTCAATTTCAACCTTGTTCACGAGATTCTCTGTCTCATAGCTTTTCAATTAAAATAGAATTAATAAATGTCTTCTCCTTTCTCGTTTGGTGTGCTTCCTCATTCCTAATTTCTATTTCATTGCCTAGATACTCTTCTACTCCCATTTTCGATTAAATTATAATTAATGGGTTTCCTATATTTTGTAGGAACCACTTTTGTTCTCCATGGACTGACATGTCTGCTGCAGGGAGTTTCCTATATTTTGTAGGAACCACTTTTGTTCTCCATGGACTGACATGTCTGCTGCATGGAGTTTGATCTCCCGTCTACAAGTTTCATTTAGCCTAAGACTAACCACCAGCTTGCTTGTGGAAGATCAACAAGCGGCTGTGGCCGCCTCACTATTAGGTAATTCAAATTCTCCCTTCCTTTATATTGCAAGCAATAATGTACTATTGTCTTAACTGCACAAAAAATATCTATATTGAATTTTAAATTTACACCATTTTTAGTACAAATATCAAAACTCGACTATTTTTTTTAAAAAAAAAGCATGACAGAAATTGTATTTTAGAGTTAAATCCTTGTTGTTACTTTTCTGTTATTTTTACCTCAACAAAACATCCCATGTAAAACTTTGTACCACATGAAACTTATGTATGGAAATACAACATATAAATTAAGATTTTTTGGGTTACATAAAACCTTCAAACAGCCCGTATTTAAACATACAAATTTGGATATGACGCAATCCACTCATGTAATCTCCTCTAATCCTGATTCTTTAAATTTAATTGAAATTCAACAACTTTCCAGCCCGCCTGCCGCACCAACCGCACAGTCAATACCCCGCGCTTCTCTCTCCCAGTCCGAACCGGTTACAAATGAAGTAGAATTGCAATTGAAGTTAAACTCTCCGCTATCAGATAATGAACAAATCCTTTTCGAAAATAGCTCAAATAATAGCTCCACAAAAAAAATTGAACCCTGCTGCTGCGGAATTTGCCTTCCCTCATGGATCACAAGTCCCTCTCCTTAAAGTTTTGTTCCCAATTACAGGACCAATCACGGAACAAAAACACGGCTAGTATTTATCCAAAGATGATCTGGAGGTAGAAAATAATGTAGAGTTTTTAATCCAAATTTCTCTTTTGAACAAATCAATTCTGAAGGAGATCACAATCATGGCTTTAATGGTTCCGATGATGAAGACTTTGACATGGAATTTACAATGGAATAAGAATCTTTCTACAGTGAAGTTTCTGTTATACCACATCAAAATCGCAAGAAAAAAAACAAGGGCAAGTCTAATGTTCAGGTCCGTCGCTCCTCTAGATTGAATAAGGATTAAATTTCTCTTAAATTTTTAATTGTCCTTATACTTAATATAAAGGCACAGTAGGCAAGAAATTAAATGTCCAAGAAATATTCAGGACCACCTTCAAATTGATCTCGTATGTCGGATGGTCTTGATATGACGTCAACGACTTATTGGAGGGAAAAAGGAGAATGCATAAATTCAATTTCAAATTAATGAATGAGAAAAAATCTGAATCTTTGGTAAAAAAAATCCCAGATATCAAAACAACGTCAATTTATAACCTTATTTTATTCCCAGCAGTGAAAATGACGACGTTTTTGTATCAATGTTATCTTTTTAAAAAAAATTTTGTTGAATCCCCGAAACAAAATGACCATAGATTATATTTGCGCTTCATCTTTCCTTTTTTCCTTCTTGTTTTTTAGCCTCCTCCCTCTTTTTTAAGACCTCTATTTACGCTGATACCCCCCATCATTTTTTGGGACCGAAGGATTATATATAAAAAATTGTTACAGACACGAATTGGCAGGGGCGGCTCAACGTTTTTTGGGGCCTAAGGCAAGTTCTGAATTCAAGGCCTTTTGATAATAAAGAAACTATAAAAAAAGGGAAAAAAGTTTAACCCTCTTCATTCTTCGGTGACAACTATAAACAAAGTTAAAATTTTTTTCTCAAATATTATTTATATTAAATTTATCTTTTTAGCAATTTTTTTTTTGAAAATATTGTTTATGTTAAGTTTTTTTTTCTACCTTTTTTGGTTGCAAATTCTTTTATGAAATGTCTATGATCTATCTCTTCTACTAAGCCTTTTTCTTATTAATATAATAGCAAATCCAATTTAATCTGTCCTGTGACATTATCGATTTTAAGTAATATTTTATTAATTTCAGTTTTAAAAAATTTCTATCTATTGAACCAACTGTTACATGAATAATAGTTAACATTATCCTATAAGTAATTAAAAAAGAATTAAGTCTTTTAATATAACTAAGTATATTAGTTGAATTATTATTCTCAAATATATACATTATCCGTTAAAATTTTTAGTTCATAAATATATCTAAACCGTCAATATCTAAAATATTATTGTGTTTTATGGAGTTTTGAAGGTTAAGAAAATTTTTTTTTCTAATTTTTTGTCATCAAGTACTTATAATTTTTTCAAAATAAATAGAAAACTAAAAATACTAACGTCTATTTTAAAATTCTTAAATCTACTTTATAGTGATGAGATATATAGCTCTATTAACGACGTAAAGAAAATAATTAGTTTTAAAAATCTCGAGGCGTGTAAGAGTTTCATTAATTCTTCATATTTTTCAACAAATCGCTTATTTCTATGAATTTTATGTTTTTTTCAATATTTATTAACACTAAGTTTAGTTTTATATATATATATATATATATATATGGAGGCCCTTCCGATTCCGGGGCCCTAGGCGATGGCCTATTTTGCCTAGTGGGAGAGCCACCCCTGCGAATTGGAACCACAGTTCCTCCGCCGCGACTAAAACTATAGCTGCGGCTAAAAATCAAACTGCCGCTAAAGACCACCTTCAAAATTGAATTGCCGCCGCTAATCACAATGACCTTCGTGCAGAGTTGTTGAAGTTTATCGTCGGAACGTTTGTCGATTGAGTCCATAGATTCAATTTTGCAATCTTCACCGGTGAGACTGTTGGGGACGAAGATAAAGAGCAGTAACGAGAAGAGGAAGGGGCTCTAATCTTGATCGATCATAGATCGTGGTGCTAGACAAGATTTGAAAATTGTTCTATATACAATACTTTTTTTACTTGTTCCTTTTCTTTCTATTTGGGCTCTAATTCTATTGCTGCGAAGTTCGGTCTTTCTGTACTATTGCTGCTGCTTCTTTTTCCTTGGAGTCTACTTCTAATCTTTTCTTCTTATTTTTTTTGTTGATTTTTGTTGGTGTTTACATTGCAGAATTTTCTAATAGGGTATAAACCAGAATTGCATAATTTCCGCTATTTATTTCTGTTGAGAGCTCTCTGCGCAAAAAGAGAACACCAAACCACATCAAATGCCAAGGACAATTAGAAGCACTTTTTTGCTGGAGCTCTCTGCAGTTCCTGAATTGTTTTATTCTCCAAAAGGTTTGTTTTGATGTAGTTCTCTTTTTATTATGATTTGTTTTGATTCTGCTTTTGCCATTCAATAGGGAAATAGTTACTGCATCATGAATCTTGAATGATATCTAATCTTGTCTATGCTCACTGAATTTCACTTGGTCCTAATCTTTTCTTATTTTTCAGGTTTTGAAATCTGTTGTTTTTTTCATCGATGTTCCAATTAAACTTCGTGGAGATGGTATCGTCTTCGTCGTCCTCCTCGTAAGAATTTGATTATTTGTTCAAGTTATTGTTGATTGGGGATTTTGGAGTATAAAAAAGTAGTCCTTTGCTCAGCTTCACTCCAGATACCTTCGAAGATCTCTCTCCTACCATAGGTAATGCTGATTTTATTTTTCCCTTTCATATCTTTTGTATTAAAACGAATTTGAAGTTTTGATCTCAATATTCACACATGGTTATGATTTTGGATGGAAAGGTAGGATTTTACGAGAATGTTTGAGTTGCTGAATTCTATTTAATCTAGCAGAATTTCATGTAATTGTGTTTGTTTTAGGTTGTTGTCGGTTAGTCATCGAATTGAATTCTTTCAGAATATGAAGAATTATAAGGAGAGTGAGAAATAGAGAGATATTGTCAACAGAAATAGCAGAATTGTGGAACCTGAGCCATGTTATAAGGACCTTTGCAAGATAGTTCCTTTTTAAAATTTCTTTTTTTGAATCCTATTGAATTGGCACAATGTTTGTTCTTCTTTTGTGTTTCAAACCAATTTTAAATGTACATGGAATATGGAATATTTGCTGATCAATTGGTTTCGTGTCAATTTATCTTATGTTAGTTGGACAAAGGTGCAGACCTTTCAACCCTGGTAAAAGTTCTCATGACTTACTATTTTTGGGGATATGATCATGTTTGCATTGGTGTGTTGTATACTGTCTCCACCAAACATGGTTTATTTTGAACCTATTTAATTGCAAAGTGAAAATTGAAGTGGAAGGGAGGCCTTTTTATGCCTTAAGTTTGAACACATAAAATTTTAGTTTATTAAACTGGTAGACATTCTTTGTTGTTGTTCCCTAAATGTGATCTATATAAGAATACATTATCAATCACTTTAAAATTAATTGGGTTACAGAGGTTCTTTTACTGTCAACAAAGTGAATCACGTGGAAGACTAATCAAATGTAGTTTAGTATACGATCGCAAGAACATTGCTTCAAATTGGGACCAAAATTTGTCATAAATTCTCGCTCCATTAGATATCTGCACCAAAATTTGTACTTCTTTTATTGGCTTTATATACTTGTGATATTGTAATGTACTCTTTTTCTGACTTAATGTTTCTAATATTTGACTGTTTTATAATAAAGAACTAAAATACCATCTCTTTATATGTCTATGGTTCAAAAAAGTTGATTAGCCTTGAGAAATTACCTCCATGTGTAGATTTGAATATTTTTCTCTCATTAATACGCCTAGGCTCTCTTTGATATGTATGATGTATTATTTGAAAATTTGGAATATAATGATGAGCTACTTTAGTAGCATGATAAGGCTCTTGGTGTAAGGGGAAAAAAATGATAGCATACGGATTTGCTACATGCATTAGTGAGCCACTAACTTGATGTCCTAATTATGATAGTTTATTTGTGGTAAATTTTGCTTTACCAGGCAAATAAAATGTTGGACACTTGGCTACTCGTCTTAATATTAAGACCTGATGATTGGGAATACTTTGGGGAGAAAGCTTTGGATTGACTAAGCATAGAGCATACTGCATTACTTCATATGTAAAGCTCATTGCCTTTTTGTTGTTCTTCAGGTTCAGGAACTTCACTGATTGTACCAGATACAGATAAAACTAGCGAAGAATTTGCAATTGAAAGGGGTAGGTACATTAGGAAAAGATAATCACTGTCTCTGTACCATTTAAAAAAACTTTGTTTCGTAAAACTTTCTGGTGGCTTTTGCTTCTCTGCCTTACTATGCTTCTTGCAATCTATGCCAACAGTCATTTGGTTGTCAATAGTGAGAAAAAAGATAAGTATTTCGAGCTTCTTTACCCACTAAATGTCAAAAACAGGAATCTATTATGTTATTCTAGAAGACCTTTCAGAGAAGGAAACACTATTCTATAATTTTGCGCATAAACGTTTCTATTGTTTATCCTTAATTTTCTTTTTATCATTTACTACATAATTTCTTCATCTATATGGAACAACTTTCATTGGTGCATATTCTTCAGCTGCTCGCCAAACAACTATGAACTATGCTTCACACGCACTTAGTTGATTCTTAAGATTTGCTCAACAAATTGTATGGCGAAAAATAATTTCATTGAGTTTGATTTTTTGGCGTACATCCCTATACTTTTATTTTTACTGCTAATTAGGCATTAGTTTCTGGTCTCCATTTCTATTTTTTGCACCAATGTTTCCATATGTCAAACCTTTTTCCACAAATCTGGTCCGATGGTAGTGTTGACAAGTGATTCTTTGATAATCCTGTGCGGGCTTAAAATCTAGCCTTTATACAAATAGTTCTACTATTGTTATTCTTTGCACTGCTGCATTTAAAGTAATGCCGCCACTGCTGTCAAGACAAGCCCAAAACAATGCGAAAGTGGTTCATTCCAAGCTCACTTTACTCGAGAAAACAAGGTTTCTTCGCCTCCTAAGGCTACTACTTTGATTCTTTTGTAGCAACCGATCCTAATTTATGAGCTCCTAATACAGAAATTCATAAAGCTCGAGTACTACCTTTTACTTCTTCCCGATTTGGTGATACAAATAGTCTTATCAACTAAAGAAACGAATAGAATACAAAGTAAAGTCAAAAATAAAAAACAAGCTACATTTCATGATAAAAAGATTAAGTAATTGTAATTCAAATTATTGACATAGAATTCAATAAAACAAATTATTTTTATACTTTCTCTGTAGCATTACTTTTTGGTTACGAACACAGTATAGTAATTATATAATACAAACTGGTCGCGCAACGCGCGACAAAGACAAGCCTAGTATTTGATATAGGATCTAACATATACGCTGCCCTATTTTTGAATATTTTTATATAATTTAATTTTGGATTAAAAAAATAAAAAATAAAAAATAAAACCTTCAAACAGCTCCTCAATACTTGTGATTAAATATTGTTCAATATAAAATTAGGTAAAGTTTTTTTCTCTTGTTTTCCCAAAATTGATGATTTCTTCAATTCCTTGCGTTGAGAAACGGTATACCCACGATTTTGAAATTCAAATCTTGTCGACAGTAATTCGAAACAAAAATTAGAATAATTAAGAATTAACGTAACCTGTGCTAGGAGGTTATGAAATTTCATAGAAGAAAATTTTGTATGGACAAGGTCGAATGTGAATATATGAGAATGGAAAAGATACTTTTCTACCTTATATTAGCAATCGGCAACTACGTGTGGGGGGTTGAAATTATTGCCTTATGAAGAAGTAAAAATAGAGCAGTTTTTTTTTTTTAAAAAAAAAAAATTATGAATCTGTAGAATCATGAAAGTTGAAATAAGATTTGGTTTCAACGGATGAATTAGTAGCACGCAGATTTGTTTGAAATAGGGTACGAACCACTTTACTTTGTCATTGCAACTGGAAATTCCTCACGCAAGAAGAAGAAACTAATTCTCTAGCCAAATCACCACAAGTATTTTGAGGATAGTGGGTATACAATTGTATATCAAAGTGAAGAACAATGCAAGACGATTTTTGAAAGATCACTGATGCATTTTGATAGTCATAATAATTGCTTTTTGAACTTTGGCACATGGATTTCATTAAATGGAATAGAACCAACCCACCTATATACATAGGGGAGATATTTTCATTGAATTTTAGGCTACTTTTCATGATTATTTTCTAGGTACATTGTTCTATCCAGACGCTACGCGGATACCAATTTTTGGGCACTTTGACAATAGCATGAAACTCCCAAGTACGCAGGCATTTTTCTGGAAGGATTAATTGAGATGTGATATGTATGCGTATATGGTCGTTTTGATCCATAGATCTAAGATTCGAGAAGAGGAAAATGTGTACAACATATTTGTAAATTTTTATTATTTCCTTTCCATTGGCAACATTTAGATTAAGCAATTTCAGACGGAAGAATCTCCATATATACTTCTTCCATCCAAAAGACTACAATCTATACTATCTAGTAATTTATTGAAACAATCCCAAAAAAAGTATATAGTAGATTATTTTTCTAGATGGACCACGTTTAATAAAAAGAAACAAAAAAAGAAAATTGATTCCGAGAGGTACCTATAGCAAATTACAAGCAATTAAGAAAAAAAACTATTAGAATTTATTAAAATGTACGCTGATTAGTTTAAATGATAGGTGCTTCCTTACAATTATGTCATTATTTTTTGTAGTAACAAAACAATTTGATCATACAAAAAACGGATTGTTCAACGAAAGATATGCAGGCAAAAGTGGTCTCCTCGTATACAAATTGTCCACATCAAAGTTGACCCCCGGCCCGTACGTCTTTAATTGTAATAAATCAATCATGTGACCTTAGAAAAGAAATTTTTATTTGAAACCACATATACACTAACCAGTCTATAAATTGAGTTGGATTCAGGGAAGGCTGAAAGTGCACAATTTCAGCTCACAATTATGGCTTTGAGTTCTAAGTTTTTCACCTTAGTTGTTTTATTGTCACTTTTGGTATTTAGCCCTTTGGATGTTGCGAAAGCTCAACCCATAGCAGCCGGACTTTCATGGTCCTTCTATGCTAGAAGCTGCCCCAATGTGGAATCCATTATCAGAAACCGGCTCCAGCGGGTATTCAGAGACGACGTTGGCCAAGCTGCCGGAATCCTTCGCCTCCATTTCCACGATTGCTTCGTCCAGGTACGTATTTCTCTACTAGTTTAAGTTTTTTTCACTCAATGTATGAAACAATTGTCTTTTTTAATGTGATGATCATAGTGACATTTTATTCAACCATTTTTTGAAGCCATTTTATCTTGTGATTAGAATTTGTGGGTTTGATCGGTTGTAACTTATAAATCAAATGCAAATAGGGTTGCGATGGTTCGGTGTTACTGGATGGATCGGCGAGCGGACCGAGTGAAAAAAGCGCAATTCCGAACTTGACTCTGCGACCTCAAGCCTTTGCAATCATCAACGACCTTAGTAGGCGTGTTCAAAGTGAATGTGGACGGGTTGTTTCCTGCTCGGATATTGTGGCTTTAGCTGCCCGGGATGCTGTTTTCTTGGTAATTCAACCAAACTCTCAAAACTCAAAGTACATAGTTTAAATTAATGACTTGAGCAAAAAATTGGAACGATACAGAGAAGATTAGCATGGCCCTGCACAAGAATGACACGCACAAATCTACTTAAGCAAATTAATTGCGAATTTTCTGTAGATCATGATAAGAGATATGGTTATCTGGTTTTCATTAGTGACACGATGTTATTTTTCGAGTTTTCTCACTTTTGTAGGTTGTAGCTACGTGCATGACACATGCCACTTTATGTCACTGATCACAATGTTTAACTCGACGAAATAAATTTTGTAAGATTGTTGAAACAAAAGCAAAAGGACCATGTGTCACCATCATATTAATTAACTAATTTTTTTTTCTTTGTTTAGGATTTATAATTTCTTTTATCTGCTTTACTGCTTACGGGAAAAAAACACTTGGAATAAACATATATTAATTGTGATTGCAGTTATTTATCATCACTTTTAAGAAATTTGGCTTAAATAAAGAGAGGGGAAAAAAAAAAAGAAATAGAGCTTACTCAATAAAATTGTTTCATCTGTTTTATTTTACCCACTAACTAAATACAATTAAGTCTTCATCTTTTGTGCATAACCAATGATTTTGTACCATGTTGCTCTCACAATGGCACGTACAGGATGTCATGATTAGTCTATGATGATTACAAGCGTTGTATTCATCGTACTGCTATTAGTTACACATGATGCTTTAGTGAGAAATCAAATGTTATTGTAATTTTCAAGTCTCTATAATTGCTATAACTTTTTTCTAGTTTAGTTTTTTTATTTATCTTATTTGTCTGAACATAGTTTTTAATTATTGCAGACCGGAGGTCCTAATTATAGTGTTCCACTAGGAAGAAGGGATAGCCTCAATTTTGCAACACAAAATGCGACCATCGACAACCTTGTAGCACCAACGGCTAACACAACCATTGTCCTAACCAAACTCGCGGCCAAAAACTTAAATGCAACCGACGCGGTCGCCCTTTCTGGTGCCCACACCATCGGAATCGCTCATTGTGCCTCTTTCACCAATCGGCTTTACCCGAATCAAGATCCGACCATGGACCAAACGCTCGCTAACAACCTTAAAACCATTTGTCCATCTACAAATACAAATGCAACAACAAACATGGACATTAGGACTCCTAATGTTTTCGATAATAGGTACTTTGTCGATCTAATGAATCGACAAGGTTTATTCACTTCGGATCAGGATTTATATACAGATAGCCGAACAAGAGAAATCGTCAGGAGTTTTGCAGTAAATCAAACACTGTTTTTCGAGAAGTTTGTTGTTGCTATTTTGAAAATGGGACAGCTGAATGTGTTGACGGGGAACAGTGGTGAAGTACGGGGTAATTGCTCGGCCAAAAATAGTAACAACTTGTATATTTCTTCAGTGGTGGAAGATGAAGGGTCAATGCAGGCTTCACAATTTTAGTGTGTTTTAAGAGAAACGGGAGAAATAAATCACCATGTCGACTAATCTTTTGGTTGTGAAACTTTTTACATAATTAGTATGTTGTCTTGATAGACAATCAAGAAGTTGGTTTGGTTGGAATTTTCCAGTCTTTAATTTGTGCTAATATTTTACTAACTTTTCGTTGAGGCAGTGTATGTCTCTCATAAGATAAACTTTTGGGCCAATAATATATGTTGTTGAGTACTTTTCTATAAATTTGATCACTAATTATTCTCTTAATCAGACCGCCACTAATATATTTTACTCTCTTTTAGTTTAGTTTATCCATGTATCTTACGTAAAGTTGTACCGATACGTTATACCCTAACAACTCTGAAATACAAAATTAGTTCTATATTCATAAAATGGAAGTTTAGATAAAATCTCCATGTCATTGATTTAGACAATGGAGCAATAACTTGACCATCAGGTTTCATTTGACAAATTAATCTTCTACTCCATGCGTACCAAGTACACAGTGATTATCCGGTTCATATACTGAAAATATATATTGTATAAAACGGGACCATAATGATTGGTACAAGGAAAAAAATTAGTTCTTAACAAATTATTTTTTATCATTTTTTTTTTGTCATTTTTTCTTTGTACCTATCACTACTTTATTATTATTATTATTATTATTATTATTATTATTATTATTATTATTATTATTATTATTTGGCGGAGAAATGTATATGTACATGTGGCCAATGGCTGTGAGTTACTGGAACTCAACTAGGCAGCGAACAGCGAAGGTATTAAATACACCATGATGTATTGATTTGTGTTTGTGGTAGGGTTTTGGCTTTTCTACGGTGATATTATTAAAATTGATGAGGGCCTCATATTTGCTGTTTACCCCATTTCTTTTGATTATTTTTTAATAGCTTTATGGTATTATTACAAATTTTCTTATTCTATCAAAGGGTGTCACAATTGACCGGGAAGTACATTTGGTGTCATCGCTCACCTCTCGTTTTTCTATAATGAATGCAAATATATAGATACAAAAAATCAAACCGTAAAATTTGGTTCGTAATGAAAGTGGCCAACTAGGTGAATAGATATAAGTTGAGAAACCTACCCCTCCAAATTACTTAAAATCATCTTTTGCTCTACGTCGTTTTCATTAGACGTCGACTTACTATATTTGTAACGAAAACCAAAACAAATTGGAAAAAAAAAAAAAAAAAACCCTATCTATATCTATATATTATAACGTATGGGTAGATGTATGCACTTCATGTCTTCAACTCTTCATTGGTGGTCAAGACCTCGTGATTGACATTTCGCCGGAGCAAGACTAACATAAAAACTAGGGCGAATGAATCGGATTGCTAATAAAACTAACTTATATTGAAATGTGAAATATATATATATACACATTTGAATGGTCCTTTTTTTTTTACTTGAATGGTCTCTTTTTCACCAAATGATGGAAGACTCCAAAAATGATAATTGAAAAGAATAGCAACTAGTACTATATATATTTGTGTAATTTTGACACGATCCCTTTCAACGTGCACCACTTGGTGGAGTACTACGAAAAAGTCAGGCCAGAAGAACAATGCAATGCATTTCGATATTGTACTCGGCACGATGAAGGTTCGAATATATTCATCTGATATGAATATGAACTAAGGATTAGAATATTTATAGAGAGAATTTCATTTCTTGGGGAAAAAGAAATAATACGTACCTGGCTCGAAATTGGTTGTGACTTGGGACAATAGGTTTATAATAGACCAAAGACATGAGTACCTACCACAAAAGGAAAGTAAACTGAAAATCGAGAGATAATTAAGGTAACAAACATGTGAACAACGAATATATATAATCAACAATCGATCGGATTAGATCGGAATCTTCGAAGAAAGTTAAAACGCGATCATCGTCCAGACCAAGTTGTACAGTTGACCCAAAGTCGCGCGTCGTTTTTTAATCATTAAAAAAAAAAAAAGGCAATAACATACTACGCGAATATCCCATTATTCTGTCTATAAAATGAAGTGACTTTCAGGATGGAAGAATAACACAGTTACAATAACTCGCAATAGTATCACACTCAAGAAATGGCTTCGAGTACTACTACTAATAAGCTCTTTTCTGCATTTGCTTTTTCACTTTTAATTCTCAGCCCTTTGGCTTTGGATGTTGCAAAAGCTGATCAACCAATACAGGATGGACTTTCATTGTCCTTCTATGATTCTATCTGCCCCAATTTGGAATCCATTGTCAGAAAGCGACTGAAAAAGGTGTACAAAGACGACATCGGACAAGCTGCCGGAATCCTTCGCCTCCATTTCCATGATTGCTTCGTCCAGGTATACTAAATATAAATATAAATTTCAATCAATGTATAAAAATAAGGTTCTTTTGTGTTTTAGTGTTCATTTTGAGAACTGTAGTCCAAGGTTGATGAAGTTTATTATAATGGGTTAAAAAAATTTCAGGGCTGCGATGGTTCAGTACTATTGGATGGATCCGCGAGTGGGCCCAGTGAAAAGAGCGCGATTCCCAACTTGACATTAAGAGCTCGGGCCTTCAAGATCATCAATGACCTCCGACACCGGGTGCACCGGGAATGTGGCCGGGTTGTGTCCTGCGCCGATCTTGTTGCTTTAGCTGCAAGGGATGCAGTTGCAGTGGTAAGTAAATTGAATTCCCCTTACTAAATAGAGATTTTCTGCTTCTTTTTTATTCTTAATTCGTTTTCGTTAAGTTAAAATCAATATTCACAGAGAGAGAATTATTAAAATAGGACGAGATTACAAAAGGATCGAGTAGTAGAAACTTGAGATATGAGACATAATAGTCATCAAGAAGTAGTTGGGATACATATACGCTGGAAACCATCTGCCAAAGTGATAAGCCTCCAGCAATTTGTGATGTATACCTCTTGATGTCATTGAGCACAGCCAACTAGACAAAAATTAATTCTATATAAGAAAATTGGAACATGTTTGCATCACATCAACTACCCCATAGACTTGGTTGGATACGTGGAATTTTTCATTTCTTTTTCAAAAAGAAACTTGGAATTTAGATAATAGTTACGTAAAGTACACAGAGTAATTCTTTGTTGAGGATTATGACATTATGACTTTATTCGGTTCTTTAGTGCAACATGCATGCTAATGCCAATAACGAGAATGATTAAATTCATAAATTGATCTCCTTATGTTTGTGAATACTTTGACTGAAAGTACAATATTCTCTTCTCTTTGAAGGATTTCTTCATATATAGTAGTAGTATAGATAGAGCTGCCTTGTACAAGAATTTTTTTAAGTAACAAATAAACATATTCAGAATAATACAATTCCAAAACACCTCTTTGTAATTTGATATACTACTAATATAAATTATTGACATAATAATATTGCAGACAGGAGGTCCTGATTACAAAGTTCCACTAGGAAGAAGGGATGGTCTGAATTTCGCTACAGCACAAGCTACATTAGATAACCTTGTTGCACCATTCGCAAACACAACCACTGTCTTGGCCAAACTTGCCGTAAAAAACCTAGACACCACCGACGCTGTTGCCCTTTCCGGCGCTCATACCATTGGAATTGCTCATTGCACGTCATTCACCGACCGCCTTTATCCGAATCAAGATCCGACCATGGACAAAACATTCGCAAACAACCTCAAAACCACTTGTCCAACGGCGAATACCAATGCAACGACTGACATGGACATTAGGAGTCCTAACAAGTTCGACAACAAGTACTTTGTTGACCTGATGAACCGACAAGGGTTGTTCACGTCCGACCAGGACTTGTACACGGACAGCCGGACGAGAGGAATCGTCAAGAGTTTCGCCGTGAATCAGACATTGTTTTTCGAGAAGTTCGTGATTGGAATGTTGAAAATGGGGCAGCTGGGTGTGTTGACCGGAAACAATGGCGAAATTCGGGCTAATTGCTCGGTTAGGAACAAGGACAACTTTTTAATATCCTCGGTCGTGGAAGATGAAGGGTCACAAGCTTCACAATTTTAATGTGCGTTCCTCAAGTGTGTGGAAGGTGTATAACTTGTAGGACTGTGTTTGTTTTATTCAATAAGCAAAGATGTTGGCTTTGTTGGATTTTGATAGTCAGAAAAATCAAATCAATTAAGTTGTTCGCTTGTCTTTTGTAATACAGTATAATCTATGAATAAATTTTAGCGTTTGTCTTACATAATATCGATGGCCTATCTATAAGGTTGTGATTACTCTACTTTGTACCATTTCCCCATTACATGGACTCATTTATTTGTCTTCTTTCCGAAAGCAAGTTCCCAGAAAGAAATAGCACGGTAGTTTTACAGATAAAAGTTTTAACAAGGGCCACAAGGCCCAAACTGGAATCTAAAAGTGGTATATTCGTGGTTTCAACACTGCGTCAAATTTTACAATTATCAAGGCCCAAATCCAGATTTAAAATCCTTTATTGTATGGATAATTTAGCATGGACCCCCAAAAAAAAGAAAAACAGAGAGGAGGATTTTGAACACAAGTTTTCTTTTTTAATTCGTCATCATAAAAGAAATTTTAGATCACACAAATGGGATAGAAAAAGGTGTAAAATCTATCTATCTACTACAAATCAAGCATGAAGGAAATGTATAAAAATTTAGCAGACAAAAAATGAGACTGTATGTATTGACATTTTAGTACTATATTCATATTCGATGAATATGTTTTGATACACATATCTTTTTGGAGTTGGAGTGGAACTTTAAGTGAAATTTTATCCTTATTTACTTTGTACATATTACTCTCTCTGTTCCAAAATTATTGTCCAGTTTGAAATTTCACTTTTAATACAATTTGCACTAAAAATGAAAACTCAAACTAGACAATAATTATGAGACGGAGGGAGTATACCATAAGGTGGTTCCACTCAGAAAATATCGATCTCAAGTATCAATGTTCCCAAATTGTGTTAACCACATATCCGATCTCTCTTCTTAGAATAGTGATAACTGTCCTTTTTAGCACCTGGGTTTCTTCAATGTATGAAATTCCTTTTAAGCCTTTCATTTTAGATGAGTGGATGGGGAAAGGCCATATTTTCATTTTTCACAGCCAAAGACGTAAAAAATGGTTAAATTCTTACAACGCATTTTTTTTTCCGCTTGACGGATTCTCTAAAACGTAATCACTTACGCAGGCACCAAATCAGCATCATTCATTGATTTTTTCTAAACCGTTCCTCTCCGCTAAACCATACATTATTACTCAACTCCACTCATCATATTACAAAATATGCTAATTTTCACTATACTTAGTACTCCCTCCGTCCCATAATTATTATCCACTTTGCCCAAAAAATTTTGCCCCAAAATTATTGTCCAATTTGACTTTTTATAGATCAAGTTACACATTTGTCCTTAGTAAAAAACATTATCCATAAAATCTTAGTGGTTAAACAATTACTTATGTAGGGGTATATCCGGTTGTTTAAAGTAAAATATTGTTAAGTTTAACAAAAAATAAAATCTTTCATTTTAGTAAAACTGGACAATAATTATGAGACGGAGGGAGTATTAAAAATATAAGAACGCAATGTGGACTATTTTTTAAAACAAACGTAGTACTATCTCCGTCCTATAAAAATAGTCCACATTAGATTTTGAAATTTGTACTAAAAATAGTACAAAACCAAAACTCATTGTGAAGTTTTTTTTTTTTTTTTTTTGGAATGGACGGAATATATATTATTTCTCCATCTGTCCTATAATAATAATAGTAGTTGGGTTGAATTTATTCAAACAAGGTATACTATTACAATGAGATTAAGAGAGTAATAATCACATCTCATAGAAATCACTCTAACAAAATCTACGCTTTAAAAGAAGTCTTCACTGGAGTTATTTCTTATTTGGTGACTTCAATCTGATTATTTAATGTAATACTCCGTCCGTTCCATATTTATTGTCAGTTTTACTAAAATGAAAGATTTTATTTTTGATCAAACTTAACTATATTATACTTTAAATAACCGGATATATCCCTACATAAGTAATTGTTTAACCACTAAGATTTTATGGATAATGTTTTTTACTAAGGACAAATGTGTAACTTGATTCATAAAAAGTCAAACTGGACAATAATTTTGTGACAAAATTTTTTGGGCAAAATGGAGTAGCTAATAATAACTTCAAATGTGCACGATTGGGTAGAAGTTGTGCCTATGTGTCTTCCCCATTCACCATAAGTATATTTGCATATGTGGACCTCTAGCATACAACGAATCAGCAGCATTTGTTACTTGATCTACTAGCCTATAAAACAAAACCAATACAGTTGATATCTGAAAATACACTACAGATTCTATTAAGAAATCAATCAGATCGGCCATGGCTTCCAGTTCTTCATCTGCGAGCTTCTTGCTATTCTTTTTATTCACTTCTTCAATCTTGCTTCAATTTTCTTTCCCTGTGATCAAAGCCCAGAATTACCCACCATTAGCAGATGGGCTTTCATGGGATTTCTACAAAGAAAGTTGCTCAGATTTGGAATCCTACATCAGGGATCACCTCAAGAAGGTGTTCCAACAAGATACCAAAGTAGCTCCTAGCTTGCTTCACCTCCAATTTCAAGACTGTTTTGGCCAGGTAACTGTTTCTTACAAAACCAACTCCTCTGTTTCGTTATAATACGAGGTTTGATCAGAAGAATACATAGCACTAATCTCGGACTAATTTTTATATGTTAAATTTGTAGGGTGGTTGTCAAGGAAAGGTTCTACTGGATAAATCAAGAAGTGGAACTGCCACATTCCAAATTATCGAAGATCTTCGAGAGATTGTGCATAGCAAATGCGGTAGAATTGTCTCCTGTGCTGATATTGTCACTTTAGCTGCTCGGGAGTCTGTCTATTTGGTAAGCTCTTGCTATTTTCTTCAGCAACATTTGATGTTATGAGCATCTAATCTAGTTTAAGTCACTTATAAAAGGATTTTTGTGTGTAAATTGTATAGTCTGGTGGCCCTCAGTATTCAGTCCCATTGGGAAGAAAAGATGCAGTTCCATCGAAAACGATGGACAATCTCAGCTTTTCTGCAACAAAGCATGGGACATCTCCAAAACTCCATGCAGCAATCACCAATGCAGATACCCTCTTGGAACAATTCGGCGAAAAGGATTTGGATGCTGTCGATGCTGTTTCTCTCTTGGGTGGTCACACATTCGGGCGCAGTCACTGCAACTCCTTCACTGATAGGCTATACCCAACTCAAGACCCGCTCCTGGAAAACTCGTATGCAAACCACCTTAAGAAGATCTGCACCACCTCGAATGCAGCTAACCTCAGCGTGCTGGATGTGAGGACGCCTAACATATTCGATAACAAGTACTACGTTAATCTGTTGAGGCATCAGGGGTTGTTGGCAATCGATCAGGATTTGTACACTGATCGGAGGACTAAGCCAATTGTCACTGGGTTTGCGTATGATGTGAACTTGTTTTTCGATAGCTTTGTACATGCAGTTGTGAAGTTGAGCCAGATGAATGTTCTAACTGGTTCTCAAGGGGTGATTCGAGCAAACTGCTTGGCTGCAGATTTGGGTAGTAGCTTGAAGCGGTCATCTTTGGTGGCTGACAACTGAAGTATAAAGACCTATTGAAATGCAGGTCGCATATAAACATCTGGCGAAGCTATGAGCCTATAATCATCAAAGCAGCAAGTGCCAATGACAAAACTTTAAGCCTCAAATCACTGCCATTATTAAGGCAGTTGGTTGTACACTTCCACTCTCATAAGATAAAGGAGTTGCGGATTGTGGTAGTGTATTCAATTAGTTGTCCATTTCTTCATCTTGTAAATACCATATGTATGTTGTTTATCAAGTAATAATAGCAACTAAAATAGTATGATTACTACAACAAAGGATTTGTGTACCATGGATCTACTACGTCTAAACCAAGTTTGAACTTAAACTTACTACTGAAGCTATCACATTCAACGAAACATCAAAAAAGCCCCAAGTTCCTGTCAAACAATGAAATGCAGCAAAGTTTGAAACTAACAGCAATCTCCTAAATTCCATTTCCTATTTCATAGTATCTTTTAGGGCAGATAGCCACTTTGCAGATTGATAAATAGCAGCAAAACCAGAAAGAATAAAGCAACAAGGAGCACAATTTGTACGACTTAAAAACTCCGCAGGATAGACATTAAATATAGTACTGTAAACAGAGGTTCCCAGCACAAATCTGAACTAAAAAAGCACCATAAATCAGCAAGGATTACAAGCAAGCGATCTAACAGCGACAATATCCAGAATAATAAGGACTAAGCTCTCAGTTTTTGTCCTTGTTGCTTTCCAGCTCCTTCCTTAGCTGCAGTGAGAAGTCATCATTCACATCATCATCATCCCAATCATCCTCCCACTGCTGAGTTACTTCTTTGCCTTCCTCTTTAGCCTCCCACTCTTGATCAATCTCAAACTCCTCAAACTCGTCATCGTCTTCAAAAAGATCAATCTTTGCATCCTCAGTAGCCACCTTTGGTTGCTCAGCTGCCATTATAACTGGAGAGAAAAAAAACAAAACAAAACAATAGCTATAAAATGTGAGATGCCTCGATTCTAAATCACCTAAACCCCTAATTGCATCTTGTTATATAACTTTCTAAAGGGAACCTAAACTTGCAATCGATTCAAATCTCCTAAACCCCTTCTTGTTATAACATTCTATTGACAATCAAAATTAGCAATTGTATGGAAAAACCATCCAAGAAAAACTGAAGTAAATCAAGAACCCTAAACTTCTAAGCTTTCAATTCGTCCATAGATTCTAAAACAACAGCAGATCATCCAACAACTGAATTCAACTGCTACATACTTAGTTTATTTTGTACAGAAACATCCTAATTGAAAGACCAATCCAACAAAGAACAGCAATCTCAATTTCCCACAAAAAAAAAAAAAGACGAATCGCCCAAAACCTAAAATTAGGAAATCGCACTGGCAGGAAAAATTGAGCACTATGTGAATCGTGAGCTACCAGGATAGAAAGAGGGCCTCTGGATCCGAAAGCGTCGGGTTAAAACCGGTCGGAGCTAGAGAGGAATCCGGCGCCGGGAGCGAATATCCGATTCGTACGTTTCGTCGGGCAAACAGAGTGACCTTGTTCTGGAATTTTGGATATTTGTAGCTTCGTTTTATAGGAACTTGATTAAATACGTACAATTGGACCGCCTAGAATGTTCTTTCCTACTTGTTTTTGGATTGGAGCGAGAAGGATAGGAGTAGCCCAAGATCCGTAACTGGAGAGCTAAAATCATGGGCCAAGCCGGTAATTTGTTTGGGCTAATTAATCAGGGGCTTCGTAATTAGCATTAAAAATTAACAATTAGTGAAACTGCGCTTTCTTCCTCAAAATCATCATGTACAAGTAGTTCTAGATCTTTCAATATAATTTTTGGTATAATGAAAGAAAAGGCATACGTTTAAAATTATAAATTATCACGTTGTACAATGGAAAAATATCATCAACTACATTGTGATTCAGTCACGACTTTCACACCTATCAACGGATCATATTTTTTAAATTCAAAAGTCCCCAAACTTCTATTATGCCAACAATTCAGATAGTCGGCACCGAACTTAACTTCGAATATCGCATACTTGGTAATTATTTTCTTAGCAAATCTCTAAAATCTTTCGACACTTAACCGTGGCTTAACGAGATATGTTCGAACAACTAGTCTAGCGTGGCAACAAGATATCAAAATCATCATTGACAAGGAGTGCTTGATTTATGACTAGGATGCTAGCTATTTTCTTTTACTTGAATTGTAATCATGTTATGAAAATATTATTATATACAGTTTCAAGTGTGCTCAAACCTCACCAAACTAAGGCATCATTAAGACAATAACCCTCCCACTCATTAAATAAAGCAAAAGTCTAGGCTTATTCGCACAACTTTCTATTTTTTACAAATGAAAAGGCAAAACTTCATCCCATGATATCATATGATATAACTAGATATATCTCGTGTAATCACGAGCACCCTAATAATTTTTTTGTGGATCCGATTAGTGTCATTGATAAAAGTAACGGTTCTATAAAATATTTGATATGTTTTATAACTCAAAAATAAAATTTAGCATTTAGTTTTATGGTTAAATCGCAAAGAAATTTAGAATATAAACAACATTACTCTCAATTGAGAAATTGGTGACATTGATAAAAGTAATAAATCTAAATATTTAAATATATAAACTATGAATACAGATAAATGTATATATACTCTTTATTTATCGAAAACGGCATAGCTGCTTATTCTAGTATCTCATCAAGAAATGGACAGAAACCTCCGCCACTGCAGCATCCTGTTGATAAAGAAGCTTACCTTCTTATTTTTCAAACTGAAGCATGAAATCAATAAATAATCGCTCAATCCAAAAGAAATATGAAGCATCCTGACATTTTAAGATGATGTAAGAAGTTTAACGAGGAAGAACTATATTTAACACTTGCCAATGATCTTGATTTGTTTGATGTATTTTTAGATTTTTGCAGTTATCTTTAACTGACCAGCTGACCTTCACAATTTTTCCAATCAGAGCCTATCCACTCCAGAGAATTCAGTTCCATATATAAAAATCACGAACAACCAATCAAGCAGTTAAATACAATATAAAAAAGTAAAGCACTAAGCCAACAAACTCTCCATTTTATTTCAACATCACTACCCAAATGCATTCTTTGTGATTGTGGACAGTGAGATTCATATACTTTCGGGATTATACTTTATTTCAAACTGTTTTGCACTAACATTTCAAATAGCAATTGTACAGAAATTCCAGGCACAAGAATTCTGCAGCTAACCGAAAAAACTAAAAAAGATTACAGAAAATGATTTTATTGTCCATGAACTACCAGTAACTGCAAAATCGCCACAAAAGATACCCTGTTTATTATATTATTCTTCCTCCAAATAGTCAAATTGGAAGTATATATGCAAAAGCAAATCTTAGGACAAGTGGCAAAATCCCAAACAAATTTGAAATGTATGAAAAATATCCTTATGAACTCATGCAAAACCAGCGCAGAGAAACTACAGTCCAAATGGACCAATCCTTAATATAAGCTCAACTGCAAGTTTAAAAACTCTTCAAAATCTTTGACGTAGCATTATTGAGCAAACCTTGGGATAAGTGGCTAAACCCCTAAAATAATTGAAATATATGAAAAAGGAAAGTACTCATGAACCATATGAAGAAACCAACACAAAACATTGACCATAGAATGAGTCTCACAATCCTCTACCCATCTATACATTGTCCCAAGCAAAATTTAGAAGGATAAACAGGAAACTAAAGCAGCATCAACAATACCTGAACAGTTGTTGACACCTTGTTTTCACAAAATTTATCATATTTTTGCTTCTTTGTTGCAGCTTTCAGACCCTTCCATGGAAGGCTGCAAGAAAATACCATAACAGAAGGGCCACATGGCACAGTAATCACATGAAAATGGGAGCATAAAACATAAGAGAAATCATATCCTCAAACGAAAGAAGCCTTGAGATATATGCACAAACCTTCCTCTCAAGAAGTATAATAGAACATAGCCAAGAGCCCCTAAATCATCTTTTCGACTTTGCTATGGGAGATACAACAATATGATTAAAAACTAATAATTTCCCTACCCCAATATCAACAGAGCTCTTATCCTTTCCCCTATCCCACACGTTGTAGAGCTCTTATCTAAGCAAACATATGACTATATCTATAACTGCAAAATTCAAATACGGCCCTGTAAGAATCCACCAAAGAAAATCTCATCATCCCACAGTTGTAGTATGCCCTTCGATTGTGATATCCAAAAACAGAAAAAAAAAAAAAAAAAAGAAAAGGGGGAGAAAGACTATACCTTTGCAAGATCTAATATTGAGGAGCTAATACATAAGCTTTCTATAAAAAAAATATATCAGTAGCAGATCTTGGGAGTCCAGTCAATGTGATGATAAATCCCCAACTCCACCATGTACACTTTAGAATTTGAATTGGAAGAAAAAAAAAGGCGATATCAACCCTTAGTACACTAAACAACTTCTACCCACTTCAAATCAAGTTCAAACTTTCTCAAATTTCATTTCCAATTGAAGTAAAGTCAAAAAACACTGAAAGAAGAGACTAAAAAGACATTCACTTCCACAAACACGAGGAACTTATACGGTTTCAGTTATTATGCGAATTCCACTAAAAAAGCACATATGTGATGGCACCAGTGGCTTTATTGGCTTGAAAACACAACGTCAAGAAGAATCATGATATCCAATTTATCATGATTGAAAAGATATGAATGTGAAAATTTTTTTGAATTAAATATAAGAGTAAAAATTTTGGCAATATATTGACTGCGAAGTAACATAAAAGAGAGTTCCAATGATTTCCAAAAAGTTTAAAACCAAAATAAAACAAACCTTCCAAAAATCTTCAAATCATCCCTAATAATTTATAAGCCATCAGCCGAGAGCCAAGAGATATGAATGCCAGTTTTAAGTCCTCTCCACTGTGTGATGGTTATAGCCAGATGAATCTGTGCAGTAAAAAAAAACACACCCATTTTTGGCTTTAGTTCAGTATACTTCTTTCATTCAATAAATAAATCAATCAATTTAAAAGAAGAAGCAACTCACATATTGGGAGCCTCAACATAGATGTATTCCCAACACCCACCGCCATGTATCATCCCACTAACAAGGCTGTCAATCCCAGAGAGCTCTTTTTCACAAATACCCTTAACATAATTAATCTTTGGTAGTATAAACTTGCTGCTGGATAGCTTCTAGGATACACAATTTAGCAAACCGAATAAGTATGACAAATTACAATAATAGACCAAGAGAAAAGAGAGGCAAAGGCTGTAAATCCGTTTAAAAATATACACTTGACCATTCAAGATTAAACTACTTTTATTAAAGGCTCTTTCACATCAAACATGACTTCTTAAATCCCTAAAGAAAAGAGAAAAAAACTAAAAGTAATTTGACAAATTCCCAAAGACACAGCCCTATTGGAAAGTGCAAAGCAAGGAGAAAACTGAACTAATGGTCATACCCATTGAAAAAAGAGAGAAATAAACTTACACATTGATCTGATAACATGGCACTGCTCCACAAGAATTATTTGCATTATAAAGCCATCTACAACTGAATTTTAATCCAAGTTCACTGATAAATATTATGGGGTGAGAAAATTATAACCTAAAAATTAATATGAGAATTGAGATTGAGTAAGCAGGCTTATTTGGTATTAACATCCTGGTGCTTGGAGCTTGCTGGGAGCTTCAATCGATGAAGGAGGCAAAGTGACGACAGTGAAGGAACAAAGCTTTGGCAAATGTGAAAGAACTAAGGCTTTGCCAAGTAGTTTGCAATGGAAGAAGGACCAAGGGTGACGAACAGAAAGGTCCAAAAGAACACAAGCAATTTCAAATCCACTTAAAAGTAATTCAGTCACGAATTGAAACAAAATAAAACAGCAGTACGAAAACTAAAACGGCACCTCCATATAATTGAAACATAACTTCATTTAAGAAATTAAAGCTTACCCTTTCCCAGAAGAAGTATCCTCAAGGACGTGAAGGACTTTGCATATGTGGGTTTTATCAATAGAAACGTCAAATACAAAGGGTAGAGAAGATGGCCGGCAGTGAGTTTACTGGCTAGAAATAAAGACAGTCGTATGAATTATGATTATTTCGGAATAGAATTTCAGAAGTATATAATGAGAAATTGATGAAATTTCACTGACCCAAAAACAAAACTAAAAATAAAAATCTGACCTACGACTTCAATTGTAGAATTTTATTGTGAGCATCTACTCAATTGGTACGATCAAAAGCTTATTCTTCCGTTGAATCGACCACCGTCTCTACCTATCTGGAAAGCGAAAACCTCTTCTATTGCCGCCGCGCCTTCTCGTTAGTTGGAATGGCTAAGGGCGTCAACCATCGGCCAATGCTCTCAACTGCGAAGGAGAAATATTTTGCTTTTGTAGCATTTCAATTATTTGCAGATGAAGGAGAATGCTTTTATTTTTGAATAAAAATATTGCCCCAAATAACAGAATTATCAAATTGCAGACAACGGAGAAGGATGGAGCTTTCGTTTTTGTTGAGAAAAATACTGTCCCAAATAATACAACTGAACTATTAAATACAGCTATCAAACGTCAAGCATGCTAGAATAATAATTATTTGGGCAGTGCATTCATGAAAATAAGAGCTTAGTTTTGCATGTTTGGTTTGGGCGGTGCATTGAGCAATGGTAAGCAAGCTAGCGGAATACTTTTTTTTTGGGCAGACGGTATTGCATCGATAGTGCATTATGAAGCGGGTCATACTGGACAAATGTCAACTAACTAATGCATTGCATGGTTCCAGCCTGGAATAAATGGGACTTGGAAGAAAAAACAAAAACACAAGAAAATGACAAATAAGCATTTTGGCATTTAGGCGAGAAATGAATTCACCACAGCTTAATACCTGGACAATAGGGGGTGGAATTGGGCGGGAAAACTGATTTAGGGGCTTCTGCTTTAGTATCTAGAATGATGATTTTGTTGGAAGAAACAAAAGATGTTGACGTGAAGCTGGAAAGAGGGAAAATGAGAGAGGAAATGGGTGCATCGTCAAACTCAAAATTATGTGCACGCTGCACTATTCGATTAATTAATTGGGCGGTGCACATGCAAAGTGGAAGATAAAAATAAAAGTAATAATGCACTTTCTCCATTCCAGCTTGCAATGGGTTTACAACATTTGATAAAATTAAAATTAAGTCTAAATTACTACAAAATGACACATCAGCATAACAGGATTTTGGAGGAAAAATTTTGCATAAGGAGGTGACACGTGTCCTAGGAAGGGGAAACGGCGGGAATACCTGCCTCAAGGGCTTTTGTTTTAGTATATTGTATGATTAGTGTTTAAAATCGATAAAATACTATTCATTTTAACTTTAATCAGCCAAATCAAAAGTTCTTGTTAGTACATTTTTGTATATTAAAAAAGTGCCTCTAGAAGACATAACTCGTCGGAATAAATCGGATTCTCCCTACCAAAAAGACAATTTGACTTATCCTTTAGAAGACATGATAATGGCCAATGAGCCCCACATTTTATCTTTTTGCTAAAATTTCGCCCTATTGTTTTCCATGTGAAATTGTAGAAATCCCTATTCCTTTGTGAGCCGTCCAAAATGCTAAAATCTGAAAATTTGATAAAAGAAGCCGCCTCACTACAAATAAATTGGCCTACCTTTGTCCCTCATGATTCCTGGCGTGATGAAAAGAAATACCTTACAAATTATCCACCAAAAAGAAAAAAAAAAAGCCTATCTGTTTCCAACATGAACACATGGTCCTCACTTAAATTTGAGGTTTTTGTTCATACAGTTCGATCATGAACCGGTAAACAATCCTTTCCGATCATATTTATCTTCTTCTTCTTTTCTTTTTTTTTTTTTTGGATAAATAATGTTTTATTGTCAATCTATAGCTGTCGAAAAGAACTGACATTTTGGATGCAGCTGGAAGAAGTATTTCTAATTTTCTAAATGCAAAATCTTAATAAAATGCCCTTTCCATTCCAAAATATGAATCTTAATTTTTGACTAAAAAAATAACAAATGAGACTTTTTTTTGATGACAAAGGGGATATATAACACTGATGCAATTTAGTAGTTAACATCAGCCATTTTGATAGCGAAAATAACTTAAATCCGGTCCATTTTGTTACACTACTTGAGATATTACGATAGACAATGAAATAACTTGATTTATATACCGAAAAAGTCTGTAAAAAGTAGAAACACGCATTATTTATTTACTAAACCATGTTTTAATCATGCTTAGGGAAAAATTACACACGAAGAAAAGAAAATGTTCCACGATGCGCCGAAAAAAAAAAAAAAAAAGGTATGTGTATGCCTAACTTGTCATCATGGCTCCTGTATTGTATACACAAAATCAAAAGCAACCCAATAGGAATGATCAATGTTCATATATTGAATACCATTACAGAAAAGTGTCTCTAGAAAAAAAATTGAAAGAGAGCTAGCTAAGCTGAATATGGAGAAAAGCAGGTCATTTCCACAGTATTCATCATCTTATTCATACAGCAATGAATTTGGATTTCAACAAGAAGAAGATGGTTCCAAATCAAACTACAACAATTCCTCATCATCTTCTTACACTTTCAATGGTCCATCAAGTGGAAACGATCCAGAAATGAAAAGGAAGAAGAGGATTGCAGCTTACAACATGTTCACTACTGAAGGTAAACTCAAGGCCACCATGAGGGACAGCTTCAAATGGATCAAGTCCAAATTTAGTACCGATGTCCGTTATGGGACTTGAAACTTTTTTTTTTCTTTTTTACTTGATCCTGATTGTGTTTATTCACTAAATGAGAAAATTTTCAGGCAAAATGATGATGAATGAAGTCATTTTTAATGTATTAGTTCCTGTTTCATCTGTATCTCTCATCTCATGTGTTTTTTTCCTTAGTCTTTCTTTGGGTTACAAATGTGCATTGTGTATAAAGTCAAGGTTAATATTGGATGGTTTGTACCCTTTGAATATGCTCTTTTGATCATCTGAATTCTGCTTTTGAGTTCTACATAAAATTCCTTCTTCTATCAAATTCCAATAACTAGCAGGATGTTATAGAGTTCTGTATGGATAGCATTTTGGTTTTGGTTTTGAAAATGCATAGCGTTATATTCAACGGTAAGAAAAGAGTATGGATAGAAAAAGAAAGAAGAAAGAACCAGTTCTTGTTAACTTGAGCTGGATTCAAGATGTAAGAGTTTGGAAAGAATTTAGACACTTGGGGATGTCTCTATGCATATTCAGAAGTAGGATTGAATATTACATCTCACAATGAATTAAGATATGCAACTTGGAACAACAAAACTTTGATTTCCGAAGTTTCATTATGACTAATTTCAGTAATGATTTTATTGTGTAAGAATGAAATGACACAAGTATATGACAAAAGAAACAAGCATAATCGTTAACGTTCAATACCGTTTCAGATTTTATTCACATCTTACTCAGTCAACAGTATGTAGTTCCAGGAGCTTGTTTCGTTCCACATGCCGATACTCCCTGCTAGAAACAGACCTTTTGACTTGATCATTCAGCTTGTTAATTTTATCATTGGTATTACTGTTGTGAGGTCTGCCGGGGCGAGAGCTTGACCTTTTTGAATCCTCGGGTAATGGAGGCCGATTCTTGATGTTTTTGTTGGCCTTAGGGTGGGATTCTGTTCTTGAAGAATTCTGTCTGTTAACCAAATCAGGTGATCCCATTTTAAATGGTGGGCTGTCCTTGTTTTCTCTTTCTGTTGTTGCCTCAGTTAAGGTGCTTATTACGACTTGCTTCCCATTGGAAGATGTGCTTGTACTACTTCCAGGTCCTTGGCTTAGGATCATTGTTTCTGCACTCTTTGGTGTCTTCAGTTCCTCCTGGAAAACAACAGAAAATAAGGATTTTTTCTTTCATGCATGTTTCATTACTATTGTGTTTTAAGTGTCGATATCAATGTAGCGCTTCTTGAATAGGTTTTAAGTACTGCCGAAGCGTGCTTGATCTTTACAATATAATGTAGCTTATGAGAAACATACCTCAGGGCCACCTGGATCTCGTTCTAGTTTTGCTGCATCTACATCTATGTTCCTGTGAATGATATGTGACTGCGAACGATGTCTCATTTTGGAACTTCTGTGCCTGTGGAGAAAATGGCAGGAAGATTGAATAAATAAGCACTGCCATTTTAAGCTATCATCAATAAAACATATAAGCTGATCAAGTTTCGATAACATGCAGTTACAAACTCCCGATGATGATGAAATGCTACAAACAACATTGTTACGATTTGTAGTTAGAGTAAACAGTGGAAAACAGGTACAACACTGCTACCACTTGCTACCAGAGAAAGGCGCTAAACAAATCAGGACAGAAATCTTCAAGAGGGAAAAAACAAAAAAAAAAAAAAAAAAAAGAGCTCAGGACAGGAAGCAAAGGAATGATGCCTTCTGATTTTAGTTAGTATAAAGCCAATGTAATCTATGTAGTCATCTCGTTAAATATGTATGCAGAAAATTTCGGAAAATGAATCCAATTAACTGCAGCATTTGGTTAAAACTAAAGCTTTTCTTGTATTCTTAGCAAGTTAAATGTACGTTTCAGCAACTTACTTTCTCCTTTCAGCTTTTGGAATTGGAACTGCTTCATCTTCTGCTTTGCTGATGACTGGTAGACCGGATAAATCACAAGGCAAGGGATGTGTATAGAAGAACTGCAGTAAAGTTAAACCGGCATAACGTTTGTAAGTGAATGAACTTTAATGTATCAAAACAAAGCCAGTAATGCAATGTAAATCCTGATTTGAGGATACTGGAAAACCAAGCAGCATATACCTACTCCTGCACTATGTAAGGCTGGAAGAAAGACTAAGGAAACCATATTCTGTAGTAGAAAGTGTGCCGTATGGATGCTCTTACCTCATGTTGAAGAGCTGAGGCTGCAGAACCACGATTTGTAGGATCCATGGCAAGAAGAGTGGATAGAAGACCCACACATGAGGCTGGAAAATGTCTAAAAGCTTCTCGAAGTCTAGGCTTATAGGATTGTGGTGGCCTGAAAGTTGTTCCCAGTTTTGCCTTCTTCCAGAAATCTTCCGAAGGCGTTCCACAGAGCTTGAATATCTTGTGAATTTGCTCAACCTAAGGAAAGCATAGATGGAATCATTCTTGCATTTCATTGGAGATGGATTGTTTTCAAGGCAAACCAAATTCTATTTATAGCATAACTTTTTACGATTGTTCCAAATAAGTTTTGCAAATACAAATGTTCATAAGTTGAAACTGGCATAGTGGCATGGACTAAGTTATATTACCTCTGTCCTACCAGGTAGAATTGGCCTTCCTATGAACATCTCAGCCAGAAGGCATCCTGCACTCCAGAGATCAATAGCTGCTCCATAATCTGTTGAACCTAGAAGTAGTTCTGGAGCTCTATACCAAAGCGTCACGACACGATTAGTGAGTGGGCGCTTTTTCTCTGGGTTGTGGTAATTGGCTAGGCCAAAATCTGCAATTTGTAGCATCCCCTTTCTGTCAATTAGTAAATTGGATCCCTTGATGTCTCTGTGAAGAATCCCTCTTTCATGACAATGTTGCAGGCCGGAAAGTAGTTGATGCATGTAACATTTCACCTGCATTTCGTCAACATTTCTAACTCAGCAACTAGGAATGATGAAGTATCCAACTCCATATCTGAAATATCAAACACAAAACAGCTCTAAAACCTGTGGTTCTGTGAGCCTCGCATCAGGCCGTGTGATAATACTTGCTAAATCACACTGCATGTAGTCAAATACTAGGTAAAGGCTGTACTGCATCCTTGAAGTTGCTAAACCTTCTAGCTTCAAAACATTTGGATGATCCAGTCTTCTAAGTATCCTGATCTCCCGAGCCATAAACTTCACACTCTCAGGCTCAGATGTGTCAAACCGCACTTTCTTTAAGGCAACAATCTTGCCTGTATACTTGTCTCGAGCTTTATACACATTGCTATATGTCCCTTGCCCTACCTACAAAATCAAGCATTTCAGTGAGCCCAAGAATCGCATCTCTCTCTCGCCGAGACGACTACATATTAAAACTAGCTATTGATCTTTAAGACTGAAATCAACAGAAGCTTGATGAGTTGATAAACTACTTAACTGAGCAGGTTCAATATTTTATATTTGGTTCTCTAATTATAAGAGGTGGCTACGCAGGAAAACAAGAACAAGCAGAATTCTTTGTGATAAACCATCATTTGATCTTATGAAAGAGAGATTCATAACAATGAGCTGCAGATCAGAAGTAGAGAGGAATACCTTGTCAATCTTGTCATAGGTTTCTGCACTTCTTGGAGTTAGACCTGCCAATGCTTCTCTAGGAATATTATCGGTCAGCCATTTTGGCCAACCGTTTTCTAGCTCGCCATCGTTGCCATCAGTTTTAGCTGAAGTCCTACGAGGGGCACTGTTTCCATCACCACGATTTCCACTTGAGTTTTCTCTATCCTCATTTATCGATTTCTTTTCTTGAGTTCCTCTACTTCCACTGCTCGATTTCCCACTCCGGACATGTCTGCCACCTTCATCATCAATGACACCCAGACTAACTTTCACACCTCCTTCCGTGATCTTGGTCTTTTCAAGGTTTTCTCTGCTTCCAACACCTGTCCTTCCATTGCTAGCAGTATTACCTCCTGCCAACCTTGTATCTTGCCTAACATACTGACCAACATTATTACTAGTATAGTGCCTCTGTCCAGTTGATCTCCTTGCAGCAACATATCCACCTTTAACATAACCGTTTTCCATCTTCAACGTCTCCAGCGAATCAAGTGGTGAACCTGATGCAGGCCTGCCTTGAGCACACCCCATAGACTAACTAAAAGCTGCCAAACGATGCGAACACAGTAGGACAAATGAATGACAGAGGGGATAGAAGATGAAACAAGACATAGTCAAGGAGGAGTGATAAGGAAGAATGAATATACATAGGCAAAAAGTGATCTGTTTTGTAAGTAGAAATATGGCAGGAGGTGGTAATGAAAAGGGAAAGAGGCAAGTGTTTGTAAGCCAAGCAAGAAAGGGAAAAGGAGGGCTAAAACTGAATTTGTCAAAGGCAGTAGAGGCCGGCTGGCCGGCCATTTACAACAATTTGATGCATTTATACTTTTGCTCAGTAAAGTTTATTTGGAATTGTCCAAATGTAAGGGCATTCCTAGCTAACTCCGGTAAGTGAACAAACTAGCAAAGCATTATTCTTTGCACAATCAGAATCTATCTCCTCAGTTTTGCATGCATTGCTTGCTAGCTTATTCGGGCAAATAAACTATGACCAATTTCATGAGCTAAATTTGATAAAAATTTGTCCATTATTGATGGTCTTAGAAGACTTAGATTTCAAAGTTTTCATTGACTTGTTATTACAATATCAAGTAGGAAAATCAGTTCTCGGATATTCTTGCATTCATTCGAATCATTGTAGATCCCGTAACAAGGAATTTTTCGTACATTGGTTCTCATTTTTTCACCATTTCAACTTCCACTGAATTAATCTCTTGCGTGAACCTCAAAATATCACAGATTGAGGCAACCATTCGGTCAGGGGGAAGAAAACAACCATGAAAAGAACTGGACGAAACAGCAAGAACTGAAACGAGTTAAACATGTAGATTTAAACGAAAGGGGTTGTTTTAGACTGTGTTAGATTGATGATGACAGTCTATCAGACAAAACAGCAGCAAGATAGGAAAAGGGGCCGGATCTTAATAAACTTGATGAAGTAAAATTTTCGATAATACAAAGTCAGTAAGCCACCATTGGCTCAGTCTGTAGAAAGTTTATTAATTATTAGGGCGCTAGCCAACATACGAAGAATTTGATACAGTAATGGGACAAAGTTTAGGGATATAACTAAGAGAACTCTCTGCAGTATCGCCGCAGGTTGATCATTACCCAAGTGATTAGCAGTAGAAGACAACTTATCTTGGCTCTTGAATTCCTTGACTTACTTTCTGAGGTTATGTGTCTAGCATTTTGTGTTAAGATAGAAACTGACAACTTAATCTCACCAAAAATATATCATGAAGGTGATCAAAATAAGCAGGAGATCAATGAAGATATCTTATTTTATTAACAATGCAAATCGAAAATTGACAAATCTTCTGCATAAAAAAGAAGGTTCGGCACAAACCTGAATCATACATACATACATTTCCACTCTATGAGCATTCAGAAAACGGATTATGAAAGAAATATTGCTTTTGTATTCAGGAAGTGTTCATATATGTTCAATAGTTACAATATGTTGCAATCAAAATGGAATCAAACAAATTGCACAAAGGTACAGAGTAATATCAACTATGATTACAAAAGTTACATTATGGAAGAGAAAAGTAACCGCCTCGAAACTTCATCATAGAAGAATCATTCAAGATCAAGAATCCCAAAATTGGACAGGAGTATCTTAACCTGATCTACTAAGTCGGAGCCAGTTGCATACTCAGTTAACATACCCACAGCAAAGCCAAACATTGCCCATCTGCCCAATCAAAGATCCAAATGTAAACATACATTTACATGATCATGATCAGACAATAGTGCAGTAACGAATTAGATAATGGAAAAATATAAAGAAACCTGTCTGATTGCAAGGATTATCAACATCTAGAACAGCAAAGACTAAACCCTCATATATTTAAATTTTCCATTGGATAGAAAATGCACATATTTGATTATACTGCGGAAAGCTACCTTCGTAGTTTCCAACAAAATCACTACCATATGATCAGTCATTTCTTCTCTCTTTTATTGTCCAGGCAGGGTGATAAAGTGGGAAGGCAGAGGATGCATAAAAACAACAAACACCCCCCAAAAAAAAAAAAGGAATGCAGAGGATGCCGGTACACAATGCAGTGACTGTATAAGCAGTTCAAGCCGAAGTAATTAGAAAGCAAACAGATACAAAAGACATAATACATAATTTATTTAGACCCAGAAGCGTAAAAAAGTTAAGTTGATGCAATACAAACTCCATGAAACACATGCATTCAGTTTACTCACTCATTTATGATAACAAATGCATTGGCTAACTCAAAACGATAGACAAGAGAGTAGAACACCTAGTCAAATCGCAGCAGGGAATTAAGTCTGAGGATCATCCATAGAGTCAAAGTGCAGAAAGGAATTAAGTCCGAGGATCATCCATACTCCATAGAAAGAAAAAAATTGAAATCTGTTTTATGATATACATCATCAATGCTTGAATCGTAACAAACACCAGCCGAATAGATATCCCAAAAAACAATAGTAACCAACATTCACATCTGAAACCTTAAATTTGTTAGTATGCCATTCTCCTGTTGCTTAGTCATGAGACTGAAGAGAACAACAGAACTCCTTGTATTAAATAAACTAAACACATCAAGGGCAAGAAGAATTCTTAGTCAATTAGCATAAAAAGGACATGTTTACATCAATAAGGCACACTACTTCACTAGATTTACATATGAATCTTCAAGTTCAACTAATTGATCACCAATCAAACAAGAGATAAGGAATCAAGACAACTTATACTCATTTATCTCCCAAATCAGATTATCATATATTTTGCAAATCAAAGTAGTACAATAACGAAACTAGAAAGGCAAACAATATCAAAAGGAGGAATGACTTCTTCACATGTGGAATGTCCAATGATCAATTGCATTCAACAGGAAAAGAACGAATGAATATTTAACAGTGTCAACTGTTGCATTCATTACCTGCCATTAGAAATTTCATTCTTGCCAATGAAGCCAAAGAAGGGACCTTGATTGGCTTCATCAAGCTTCTTCTGCTTAAAGTATGCTTGAAGTTCCTTGGCCTTCTGCCTTTGAAACTCCAAAGTAATCACATTTTTACTATCCTCTACAGCAGAAGCAGCCACAGGCTTGGGAGGAGCACTCGGTGTTGGAGGAGGAGGCGAAGCAGCAGCTGGGGAAGGGGTTGGAGATGAAGGCGATGATGGTGGGATGGGTTTTACAGGACTTGGAGATGGAGCCACAGGTCTTCTTATTGGCCCTTCAGCTTGAGAACTCCTTATTGTAAGTAGGGTGGGCTTAGCAGTAGAGAATCTGAAAGTGGAGGATGAGAGTGAAGAAGAAGAACAGGGAGATGATGAAGATGATGATGATGAATGGGGTGATGATGTGCTCCTAAATTTGATACATGGGAATGATGATGATGATGCGACTGACATCCTCAAAGATCTTTGCTTTCTGTACTCTCTTCTCTGTTTCCTTCCTTCCTCTCTGGTTGTTTTCTTTGGTTTTTCTTGTTTTGTTGAGGGGAAAGATTTGGGTGGTGTGTGTGTATGTGTGTTATCAGAAAGTTGATTGTGGAATGAGTTCTAATTTTGTGGATAAGAGGTGGCCAAGTTTTCACATTTAGATTGTTGCTGACTTTACCAACTCTAAAGCCACATGAAAGAGAGAAATTGTCATTCATTCCCCTCAATCTCTAGTTTCATTTTCAACTCTACAAAAAAACTGACCAAGAGACAAACAGCAGTACATCACTTTCCATCTTCAGCCAAACCAAGGTGTTTGAAATTTCCATCACTGAGTCTTCCAAATGGTAATTATAATGTTGAGATGCAGAACCAAAAAATTTGTATTCCTAAAATTTAGCAACAAAAAAATGCTCACATAGTGCAGCTTTGAGCAGCAAATAATAAATTGGTGCAAACAGGGTTCCACTAAATAGTTCCTAAATCTACATTAAGCCCATCATCTTCCCGGTGTGATGACCAAAATTTACAAGCAAAAATAATATATAAAAGAAAGGAATAAGATAAAACAATGGACAAGGTGATGTCCTGTTGAAATATGAATAACAATGAAAAAAGAAAATCTACAGACAAAACTGAAACTCCCCAGCTCGATCATCGACACCACGAACCAATTGAGCTAGCAACCGCAGAAGTTACCATCTGTGCCCTGATACCTTCTCATGAATCTCAAAATTTTGACTTGTCAAGCACAAACTTGGATTGACAGAAACTCCCAAGGTGTATGCCATGATTTCAAATCCATAACGCTTTCACTTCAAGCTGATAACTACATTATTGTGCATGAGCAAGTCTTCTCATTCCCATTGCCAAATTCATCATCAGATCCATCATCACTGCAGTTGCAAAAGTCCAATATAAGTAAACTGGTGAAATCAAATACAATGCAATGACCAATTTGCACAAGTCACTTCAATAAGAATAAATCAGGCAAGTCCTGTATAGTTCCGAAACGAATAAAGCTGGGGAAACAAAGTGGAACCATATAGTTCCGGAACGAATAAAGCCGGGGAAACAAGGTGGAACCAGAATTAGAGAACATAAATGCCACAAAATTCTATGCACCCATGAAATGAGTAGTCTCAACTTGTAACCACTAGCACTGAGCACACAAATTCATATCCTCACTTACAAAGGATCGTATGGCCTAAATTCTGTAACGATTAAACTTAACCTTAATGTATCTAAAACCAGTGACACGAAAAATGCCAACAATACGAGTGAGGCTTAACTGACGATTTCTCCAATTTTCTACATTCAATGGAAGCCTTAATGGAAAGAACAGAGCCCATAAGTTTAATAATTCAATAGCGTAAGAGGAAACCACAATTAATCAAGTCATTCCTCCTCTTTAGTATGTTTAGAATTTCATCAAGCAGCACAAAATTTTCTTGTTTAACACTAATAGGAACTAACCGTGTGTACCATGTCGAGTTGCAACAGGAAAAAGGTTAGGAGCTTTGGCTTCATCCTTTAAAGACAATTAGAAGATGAAGGTACTAAAATCCAGAACTCACTCATGTTTGGGTGTTGGCTAATTCCTCAAGTAGTTACTCGCCAGCAGGTCCATTGACTTTTATTTTCTGTTTCTTTAAGTCAGAGCAAGTATCAGCTCATTATCATTTTCCGAAGTTGACATCAAATAGCGACAGAATATCTTCAGACTTTAGATGAAGTTCAAATATTCGACAGGTGAAAAGTGAAAACCAAAAGATAGCCTAATAGAATAATAACAATTATTTATGCACTTCATTAGCAATCTCCAAACAAGAAGCAAAACTGATACCAGTTCCAAATATCAAAAAAGGTCTCTACACTAAGATTCACGGTAAGGAATAAGGACCCCAGTTTTACAGAGGAAAAGGAGGAAAAGGAAACAACGATTTGACATTAGTTGGGATGTTTTAAAATAGTATGCACCCAGTATCCCAAATCCTTTCTGTTGAATTTTACAGATGTCTTACTATATAGATAGACCATTTAAGGCAACAAAATTAAAGCATGTTATGAATTCCCTTTTGTATGCTCAAGGTTTTAAGCACAGAATATTTTCAAATTTAACAATCAAGAGAACATTACTTCTGGTGTTCAGTCAATAAGCAGCATCACATGCTCCTGCTAGAACCTAAACTTTCTTTCCTGATAAAAAGGTCCTTGACTAACCTTCAAAATATAATGCGTTCCACTGACCCTATTCCGTAGTTTGACAACGATATTCTTTCCAAATGCAAAATACTAATGATGACGGTCTAAGTTAAGGATATAAAGTAAAACACGACGAACAATGAAAGCATTACAAAAAAAAAAATTATTTATTATGCCACATCACCGACGCATACACCTTTAAATAACTAATGTTTGTTACAACTCCAAGACAAGTCTTGTTTTCCTCAACCTTCCCGAGGCATACGTTTTATACAAGCGTCCTTGAACTTTTTGGTTGGATAAGAATCTTTTTTAAACTAATGTACTCGGTGGGAGTCAAGAAAAACGTTTCCAAGTCAGTTCAATCCGGAAATAATGACAGTGTGACATCAGAATAATGTCCTTTCTGAATCCTATTTTTGAACCGAACAAATGAAAAATAAATAAATAAATAAAAATAAATTAAAAAAAATCATATCCTCTCACTCTTCAGAGGTAGGAAATTGCATAGCACCCCGAGAAAATAAATCTTATTTGCTTAAGTATAACGTGAATTGCAGACTCAAATTTAACGTTGCAGTTCTTTCCTAACTGTGGGGAATTCAAAACAAAATATAACCTTAGTTCATTTGATCAACTCCGCCAAGTTCCACAACAACACAGCTCACAAACTGAGGCCCAAAGGCATCGTACATTCAATTGGACAGCCGTTTAAAAATAAAATTATTGAGAAAACATCCTTCCCTTCCTTGTTGTAACATAGCAACCAAGTTTACAACAGATGCAGGTTGCAGAATAAAATTTATTTTCATCAAATATAAATCATCGGAAGAGCAGATAAGCTTCTTCAAGAAATTTTAATTATAGCAACAATGGTCATACCTAGGCTCAAATTCGCGTATCTCAGCAAGCTCCCCTCCTGATGCATCTGTCCATTGCACTTTTCTTGTTTCAGTATGAACATCACTATCCTTCCCGCTTGTGGCCAAACTTTCATCACTACTGTCACTGACAACTGTATAACTAGTCGATGCTTTCTTCAAGCTACTTTTAAGAGTAAATTTCTCACTGTTATGACCACCATCTGCATTGCAAGTAGAATCACTCTGATCCCTACCCTTATCAGGAACTGGAGGCTGCGGCAGACCTTGTTGTTGTTGGGTTGGACCAACTTTAAGCGGAGAAGGGCTCTCAAGTCCAGCGGCAGCGCGACCAAAGCACACAAAGGAGGCGCACCCGCGGACGAACCTTTTCTTTCCAGAAGCCAGCTGGAGTTCAGGATCGGTTTCTTGGTCCACCAACTGGTACTGATTCCACGGAGCCACTCTCATGGGCTTCTCTTCGTTCTTCTGACCCAAGAGAAGAAGGGTCAGTCCCTTGCTATACCCAGAAGCCGATGAAGAGAAGAACCCTCCTCCTTCCACTGCCAATAACATCAGTTATGCTCATCCGGGCATACTACGAACTAATTTTCCTTTTAAACAGCTCTTTCTACCTCTATGACACTTAAAATTCACCTAAAAAGAGTCTGTTCCAGAAAGCATGAAAACAGAACCAAGAAAAAAAGATCAGAAGCTCACTTCAATAAATCAAATTATAGTTCAAATAAAGAAGAAACCAAAAATCCCAGATAGGAAAATGCAGTGAAAAACCCAATTCCATTGTACCAACAAATCTAACTGACTATACTTCCCATTGCCATTGTACGAAAAAAAAAAAAAAACACTATCCAGACTCGATACTAATCAACTTAACATTCCATTAGTAGCAGACCAAACACATTTCTAATCCAAAAAGTAAAACAAAACAAACAACAAACCGAAATTCGGACAATAAAGAAACAAATCCCACAAACTGAATCACTGTCATTTGGTGGCATATGATCACTATGGAATAAAATCAAACACTTACAGATCCAAAAAAACGAGGGGGATCTCCGGCAAAACTTCACCGGACTGATGACTCCATTATCGATCACCTTTAGTTAAAAAAATAAAAAAACTTCTCTTATTATTAATACGGGGGAGGAAAAAAAGAAGTTTGTGTAGAGAGAGAAAACAAGATTAAAGGTGGTGAGAGAATATATAATCGTATATATAGGGATATAAACTGAATATTGGGCAAATCTCCCAAAGAACTTCTTTTGGCGTCAAAATTGGGATAAAAAAATACTTTTCTTTTCCTTTTTTTTTTTCTGTTTTTCTCTTGCAAAGAGGTAGTAAATTTTAATTAAAGAAGAGGAATTGATTATAGTAGCTATAAATGTTTTTTTTTCTTTTCATTTATGAACTCTTTGAGGATATTAAGGTTTTGATTTTAATTAGTTATTATCATTAGTATATCCACAGTTAGTTTTTATTATACTTTTAGAAAGGATAAATATGTTTTTTTAAATAAAATATGAAATTTGGAGGGGAAATAAAAGAAAGTAACATTTTCTTTGTACTGTAATTATTACTAATTTTTTGGGTTATACTCCCTCCGTCCCATAATTATTGTTCAATTTGAGTTTTCATTTCTAATTTAAAATGTATTGAAAGTGAAATCTAAAACTGAACAATAATTTTGGGACGGATGGAGTATAAATTGATGAAGGGCGATTAAATAATTGAGTTGTAGAGAATAGGGGCATGCATGTGGAGCATGATAGTGATTTTTCTTCTTTTTTTTCTTTTTTTTTTTTCTTTTTTCTTAAAAGGGACTTTTTGAGATTCACTCATATGGCCACAAAGATTTGTTCGGGTTTGTTGGTTTTTTTTTTATTATTTATCGAAGTGTTTGTAAAATAGTTGAAGGATAAACAAGAATAATTCGAAGTTGGGGTTTCAAATATTTTGGAAGTATAGTTTGAAATTAAACAAATGATCTAATCACTATTTGTCGATATACACTTATGAAGAAAAAAAAAATTTAAGTACAAGAGATTTTGTACTTATAGTCCAATTTTTGTTTCTTGCCACAAGTAAAGCATAATAATTCTTTTACAAGAAAATGAGTTTCATTTGTCAGATGAATTTTACGAACAAAGAGTCAAATCTGTAGTTTAATATTTACCTTGTATATACTTATCATAGTGAAGCTTAACTGTAATTTGTAAGTTAGGATTTTTTTTTTCTTTTGTTACAAAAATAAGGATAAATTTTGAAACAACAAAAATATACTCTCTCTGTTCCTAATAAAAAGGTATAAATCTAAAGTAATTGTAATGTTAATTTATCCATTATACTCCCTCCGTCTCAAAAAAAAATAGTCCAGTTTGATAAAAATTCTTGTCCCAAAAAAATAATCCAATTTTACAAAAGTCAAAATTGGTTCAATTGAAATAATTTAAATATCCCTACAATTAAATACAAAAATAATTTGATTTTAGCATTAGAATAAGATGAAATCCCTACAATTTTTACCTCCTCAATAACCTTCCAAGGTGGTTCTAACAACTATTGGACTGAAGATACATAAAATATTTTATCTCAACTCATACCCCAAAATCAAAAAAAAAAAAAAAAAGTTGTCATAAAGTTTATGAGGAAGAAATAATATTCTCTGTCTCAAAAAAATAGACTACATAAGTTTGAAATTAGTATTGTATTATAAATCTTAAAATTTAAAGTGAATTATTATTTTAAAACTGATAAAATATAATATAAGCACAATTTATTGCACGTATTGTTTCATCCTCTCTAATTTGCAAGTAAAAATGAAAAATCCATCCAGTAAAAATGATAAACATATAATATATATATATATAGATATATGTATGAAAAGATATCTACCGCTGACATTATAATAGTGGATAGAGTTAATAACGTGAAATTACTCAACCCTTCTAACGCTTTGCATTAGCTGTTAGCTGTTATGTCCTTTTGTTTAAGAGTTACTTTTGTGAAAGTAAGTGAAAAAGGAAATATATATTTAATTAAAAGGTAAAACTCACAAAAGCGGAAAGCTTGCTTTTGTTTGCTTGCCTACGGCTGCTTTTACTTAATAATTTAATTAGAATCAGCAATGCAGCATGCAGTGGTTAACACTCTGCTGATTAAACATTGTCACAACTCTCTCATCACATCATTATTTATATATATATAGATAGAATATCAATGAAATATTGTAGTAATTCTTACCTATTGAAATATATATGCACTACTTAACAATCTTCCGAACTTCATAGGAGCAAACTTTGAGTAACACTTATGTGATTCTCACATAAAATTATAAGTATATATTTTATTTTTATATTATTGGGTACAAAGTATATGATGATGTTTAATTACACGATCAGATGGAACTATCATATACATATCTATAGTACTGAATTAAAGCAGCAAACAAAAAGAACATGTGTCAGTACCACAATGGAAATTTTTCCCGCCAAAAGTCATTTTCAGTACAAAATCATTTTTGACACGTGACACTCTAACTAATCAGAAAAAGAAGATGGGATATTATAAATCCCTTAATTATAGCTATATACAAATCTCTTAATTATAGGTATATACTAATCCCTTAAAACAACAATATTTAGTTGATAAAATCAAATGTAAGGAAATTCCCTCAAATCAAGTGAAACACCAGTAATGTCTTTCCAATCCTCAATTTCAAAGGATCTCTTCCATTCTGCTCCTCTCTCACACTCGGGCCTTTAAATCAATTACTTAAAATCTGACATCAATTATCAATCCATCTCTTTCTACAACAGAGAAAAAATAAGTTGTCATGAAAGAAATTTGATTTTTTAAGGATGATTTTTTTTTATTTTTCTGTTGTAGATATTGGTTTATGATTTATGTAAACCTAGGCATAAGTTAATTGTTGTAAATTAAATGTTGTAAATCTGGACATAGATTTATGTGTAATAACTCACTTCCTGTTCTTTCAATCGATTTTTTATTCTTCTATTTTTTTTATTCTTTTAAGAATGATTCGTATTTTTTATTTAATCGATTTAAAAATACAGGCGGCACCCCGGGCTAGTTAGTATTTAGTTCTAGTTAAGTTTTTCCTTAAGGCTTGCTTTTGAAGTACGGGATTTTTTGAAACATTTTTACATTATAATTCTCGCGTGACGTTGGTTCCATGTGCTTCCATGTATTTAATTTTAATCAATTCGTTATAGTAATTATTAAAAAAACTACATATGTTTACTTGGGTCTTAGGAGATTTTGGCCTGTTGAGTTGAGTCATTTTCTAACTCCAGAATCACAAATTCATTTTTCGTTGAACTTCAAGGTTTTCTTTGATGCAAAATAATTTGGTGGCAAGACTATGGAATGTGAACTTTGAAAATGTTAAGACTAATTCTTCTCCAACATGAGTGAACTAAGACACCTTAACTCTCAAATTATGGGATCAACGCTCATACGACGGCAATTATGTATTGTTTTAGTCCATTAAAATACGGGTCACGGTGAATCATACAATATACTAAAACAGCAGCCCTTGAGACGGGTTTTCTCGCCCGTTCCCCCCCTTTCTGGACACGTGTCCTTCTCTGATGAATTCCGATCCCGCCAAAACTTATTTCTGGTGATATGTTATTTTATGGTAAGTTTGGCTTATTTTTATTTTTCTATTTTCCCTCCTAGCGTGTACTACTCCTACTTCAATTGGTTCCCCCACTCAGCATGCACACCACCGCCAATTTCACACCTTTCTAAACTTATTTGTGATTTCAATAAAGAAGAAAAATTTACTCGTAATGAATGGAACATTATTCAATGTGCTTTTTGCTTTAGTTCACATATGATTTCAAATTTTTCCCCCGGCCAAAACTATTTACCCATTTATCAAATATCAACCCAAGCAAATACTATTCCGATTGAGACTCTGCTCCCTTGGCTCCTTTTTCTCTCCTCCAGAATATATTTTCCCGAACGGATTTAATTAGTGCGGCACTCAGATCTCAGAAATCTCGATTTTTTCTCCCTTCCTTCATTAATTATTCAATGAGATTTCTGAAAGGGCGTGGCGCGGCGGCGGAAGATTTCAGGATGGCAGAGACAATGGCCGATTGATAAAGGACTATTGATGAAGAACTAAGGTCGCGGGTGAGAATCATCGAAGACGGTGCGAACGCCGGAAGTAAGAATAGTTGTCTCTGCACTTTTCTTCTATATGAACCCCGTCTCATATTGCAGTTGATTCTTGACGCATGGTTGTTCAATTAATAATTGGGTTTGATTTTAATTTCAGAGTCTTCAATTACTTACCCTACTTCTTCTTTGCCGGAAACTCATGAACTGAAATGACGGACCCAATTGACTGATGAAAATGGTCAAATCATGCGGTGAGTTCTATTTCACTTTCTGTATTTAATCATAGAGACATATGATTGGAGTTTGGACTCTTCGGTTAATTATGTTTTATTCTTCCTGTGTAAGTTTATTTGATTCTTTACTGGCTGGACTCTCAAGATCTGTTAGTAATAGATTTTTTGATA